TCAGCATACCCGTGGAGGACCGGTGTAGGTCAGGTCTTCAGCAACCCATGCTTGTCGTAAGAGGCGACTGTGATTGTCGTAAGAGGCGACTAACGGGATCGGGTGGTCAGGCTCGCTGACTTGGTTGATGCATGTCATCGAAGCCTAATTGCGTACATCGATGCTCACGATGTCAATCACTGGATTGTCATTGAGTTCGGCGCTAAACAACAAACAAACATCAGCATTTAGTATAGTGATGTCGTATTATAAAATATCTAGGCTCTCCGTTATCTTGATAACAATTTTCGTTTGTATGATGTACGGGGTTGTTATTGTCGATTTGTTGATTTTTTTTAGCAATTTCCAATATTTCTCTGATGATACATCATGTGATTCTCGTAGTTGATGCCCAATGTGCTCAGCGGCTCTCCTGATGTATTTATTCATTGTCTTCTTATAATCTTTGCTCGCTTTACGTAAATGATATTTGTTGGATTCTGACTTGTTTTTTGGTAAATGTATTTTGTTTTAAAAAAGAGTTTACGTTTAACTGATTCAGGGCCAAACCAAGGTTCACGACAACGGCTTCTGTTGTAGGTTTAAGGGCACAACACCCGTGAAGATCCGGGGTAGAATAGGTCTTCAGCAACTCATGCTTGTCGTAAGAGGCGACTAACGGGCCATGGTGGTCAGGCTCGCTGACTGGGTTGATGCATGTCATCGTTTCCCAATTGCGTACATCTATGCTCATGATATCAATCACTGGATTGTCTGCTCCAGACTGCTGTCATATAGCCGGAATATTGCTGAGTGCTGCGTTAAACAACAACCAAACAAAACATTGACCTTCCCGCAGTGACCTAGCTTTAGGACTGCCAGTGTTTACATCATAATCTGCAATGTTTGTAATGAACTTATCGGCCTTACATTTGCCTGGTTTACATTCGCTAAAGACTGTAATGTTGTTGGTAAGTTTAGTATCTGGCTCTACACTTGGAGACTTGTTAAATAAATTCAGGTTAAGTGGTCAGTGTTCATCTGACAACAAAGGGCAAAGTTCACCTATTTCATAATAGTAGATCAAAGTTGGGCCCATTGCTGAAGAAATTACAAAATATATTGTGTTTTCTTCTTTGCAAGTACGTTTACCATGAAATCTATCTGGATCAAGTCTGCCATTAGAATGAATAAATTGTGAGTTTGGCATCATTCAATCAATGAACATCCATTATAATTAGGTTTGCCAGTAGCTTGAGGGAGTTTGGGGAGTCAAACATCTTCCAGGATAGCGTCAAAGTGTCCACATATACCCACATAGTTACAATGAAGAATGTTGGGTATTTTACATTAGCCCTACGCCATGACAGTGGAATGTGTTTATACTATAAAAGCCAAGGCAAGTCTAGATCAAACAAAACCAAGCCTAGTTGTCTTGATTCAATGTGAAAAGAGCAGAGGGAAAAAATTTACAATTTTCTCAAAAGAATGTTTTCATAGACTAAGTGTTAGTCTAACCTTATATCTGTTTCCCCTGAGGAATTGTCGCTGTGAACAATTCCCGGGAATAACAACAGTCGCTGGTACACCTCAACGGACGTGCACGAGCTGAAGTAACCTGAACCTCTCCGTTAGAAACAGCGAACAGATAGGAAGATTAAGGGACATTGTTTCTAGGTCTATCAGGCATAAACCTTCAGTGAGCTGAAGGCTAGGCGATAAAACTGTTTTCAGAGGGTGGGAGTGGTTGCTTCAGAGGACTGGAAAACAGACGACGTGTATCAATCACATCCAACAGGTAGACTTCTTTTCGCTCTCTGTTCTTGGCAGTGTTAAGAGCAAATGTTATCTCAGCTTGTCTTGTAGCGAGAGGTGCGATGGACACAACACATATCTCATAAATATCCGATGTAAAGTGTTTTATCTAAATTCAGAATTTTGTATTTAAATTAATACATAGAGGTTATCACGCGAGTGTGTTTGGGAATGGTAAATATCCTGCATTAGGAATAAACATTGTATTTAGCGAGCCTTGGCGAGCTAAATACATAGTGTTTATTCCTAATACAGGATATTTACCATCCCCAAACACACAAGCGTGATAACCTCTTTATCATATAATGTCATTCTTTAATTCTGTTCTTCAAAATCGCTTTCCCTCTCACAAACATTACCGAAACATTGCGAGTTTTCCTGGAATGCGCGCATTAATATTTATTACGTCACATGGTAAGTGATGTGTCAATCGGACAGTGACAGTAGCCAATATAGTTACAACTGAAATCTCTTTCTTATACAGTGGCGAAGCAACATATACGCAAAACAACAATTGTTTTTAATTGCCTTTCGCGGCAACCGTCGGTCTTTCTGCTAGAGTAACTGCCCTTTGTCAAAGGGAAGTTACTCTAACCCTAGTCTATGAGACGTCACGGCCACGGTCAGACTTTGTTGACAGTCGGTCTGTCCTGTCATAACGTTAAGAAGTGTAGTCAGATGTACACAAAGCGACAAAACGAAAAAGGGAAACAATTCAAACATATTTCGGCCAAATCCAACTATTTTAATTTGTGGAGAAAGGTTCAAGCAGCAGGTCTACAAGCACAGATATGGCTACTGATCCCGCTTGGCTAGGCCTCGTGCCCTCGCAAAATTGTGTCGAAATTTATATCTCCAAAGTTGCCAAAACGTATAAAATGCCTTAGCTACGTCACAGTAAGACACTGATTTTTAGTATAATAGACTGTTCTTTTGATAATGAAAGCAATTATCTCTGTAGTTTATCCAGATTCCCGGTGGTTAAATCTGACTCGATCGCCGAATAACGAGGGCGACGCCATGTTTGTCAATAAACAGTGAACGTAGTCCCAACTTGACCTTTGATATTTGCATCTCTATCCGCATATGACCCCAACGGATATCGTTTTTATCCGTTGGCTTTATCCTGCCGAGAAACCTACCCATTATATGATAATTGTTAATATCCGTGTACACGTTATAAAGTGTCAATCCGATTGTTCGGGAGACACACGACCATATTTTTATTCACTTGATCAATATGTCATCTTCTCTTCTCGGAGATTAACAGTCACACTGACGACACCAGCATAACCAAGCAGGGGTGTTTATCTAGCTTAGAAACAACAAATTGCGATCGAAATAAGTTGCGAATACATATCGAGCAAAAATAACCACTTAAGTTGTTTGTCTCCGATGTTGAAGTGAACTCGATCGGCGGCTTCTTAATTTTGCACGTGCAGCGCGCGTTTTGTATGTAAAAAAACCGAGCTCGTTTCCATTTCAAGACTTTGGCGTGAAAGCGAGTTGAGAATGATCATCGAATTGTTATGTTTGTTTGTTTGTTTGTTTGTTGTTTAACGCCGCACTCAGCAATATTCCAGCTACATGACGGCGGTCTGTAAAAAATCTGGACCAGACAATCCAGTGATTGACATCATGAGCATCGATCCACCCAATTGGGATACAATAACATGCATCAACCAAGTCAGCGAGCCTGACCACCTGACCCCGTTAGTCGCCTCCAAAGATAAGCACAGTCGCCTTTTACAGCAAGCATGGGTTGCTGAAGACCTTTTCTTCCTCGGATGTTCACGGGTTGAATTGTCATGTAGTTTGGTCGGGTTCAAATAACAACAACAAGTAATATGTTCAGAAATTATGAAGATAGCTTTAATGAAATGTTATCAATTGGCCCTGGGATAGATATGTAATACTTATGGTTACAACAACAATTTTGTACTGCAAAATCTTATATCTGTTCGTTATTGTTATCCGACAGTTTAGATGTCGTAGTCCGATATTGTATGGTTATAAACGTCATATCATTATCATCATCATCATCATCATCATCATCATCATCATCCTCATCATCATCATCGGGGTCAGTATACTGTAAGTGCGGTATTCATGTTAAATTACGGTATGGTATCTCAGTGTGCAAGCATTATAAATCGTCAATATTCCGGACAAGTACAAGCAGCCACACACACACACACACGCATGCACGCACGCACGCACGCACACACACACACGCGCACACACACACACACACACGCACACACAGGTCGCTACATATATTTAAATGCACTAATCTTGGACGCGACGTTTCACCCCATTTCAGCTCACCTGAACCTTTTCGGGATCAACGGGTTAGAAGTGATTGCTGTTACGATATTTTCCAAAAAAATATGCATTTAAAGGTTCGAAGAAATATTTTTCCAGCGTGAGTTGAACTTTAATCCAAGTATGTACTCTATTCTCATATGAAAATGAGACGAGTTAAACTTGAACGACACGGACAATAACTAATCTAATCCGCATGCTATTGTGCGGCAGAATTCTGCGTGGATTAATTTATTACCCTGTGGGAGAAATACACTCTCACAACGGTATGTTGTAGAACGGGCGCAGAGAGTGGACTCCCGTGGCTGTGTAAGTGGGAAATGTTGCATCTTCAGTGGACTGTGTGACAAGGAGCCACTTTCAATAGTCCTGGTTTTTCCCCCCAAAAAGTGAACTTTATTGGTTTGTTTTCCAGACCCTAGAGAATAAGTTTAAAAAAAGTCCATTTCAAGTCTTGAATGATTGAGGATTGGTCTTGGCTCCATTTGGTTATTATTAATTCATTTTATGTTGTAGATTATTCTATATTTGTAAATGAGATCACTTATTTCTGGGACTAAATGTCGCTGTCATACCTCCATCTCAGAATGATGTGATCTGATTGGTCCACGTGATCTTGATAAAATACTTTGTAACCCGCCTCGGAGGTTAATAAATTTCCCAGAGGGAATAACTCTTTTAAACACATGCTTATGAAATGGTCTTCTCTTTTAGTAGATTATGGAAATGTTTTTGTCGATTTTATTCTTTGCAATGCAAAATTGTCCTTTATTAGGCTTTCCATTTAATTACATTTGCATATGAACAAAGCCGAAGTCCTAAAATTTGAAATTGCTATAAATGTACTCAGTATTGTGAAATTGTTATTTTCTTCTAAACAGGAATTATGATCAGTGACAATGCACGTATATGTGGAGACTGGTGACTGACAAGGCAAGATGGATCCTGACGCTACCGTCAAGAAGAAAGGAATGTATATTTTCGCGACTTTGGTAGCAGTAGCACTGGCTGTAGTGACGGAGGTGACAGGAGGGAAATGCCCGGATATAGAAGACAACTTTACACACATGATACTTCACAAGGACACTGTGTACATAGCCGGGTCTAAATGTGTCTGTCGGGGAAAGGCAGGGGTGCTGGAACCTTGTGCGGAGACAGGCTCTCGCACCACTGTGTTGGTATTAGTAGCAGAAACACAGCTGTTAATGTGTTATGCATCAGGGAAATGTGAAACACGTATGCTGAATAAAAATGACCTTTCTTCAAACACAAGTTTAGAACTTAGCCCATCAATATTTGGAGATGAAAATGAAACCATTGTGTTTCCGTCTTCTCTCTCTGGAAACAGTACTGTTTTGTACACGTCTACAAAAGTGTCTCTTGGGAATTCGAACAATGCCACTTCCACCCTGAGTGTTTGGAAACTGGAGTATCAACTGAAAAAAGCGACAAGGACGTACACTATTGATCTTGTAGAAAACGTCACACAGATGTACCGGACAAACTATAACCCTGTGGGCGGGTTCAGTTTCAATGGGGCTGGACACTTCTTTGCAAACCAGATCGCAAACACAACGAATAATTCGACTGTTTCAAAACTCATAGTTGTTTGCAATAACACATACACAGATGTAGTTATTGATAGGAATTATTGGGAACCTATATCTGATGTTGTTTTACTCTCTGCAGGTCAAAACCATGAAAAGTTCAAATCTGCTCATAACACGACGTACGACGCTCTTGTTCTTGCCGTCTTTGAGAACAGGGAGAACAATACATCGCGGTTGACCTATTATACTTTTGAAGATCTTTACACATCTTTGTCATACGCCGCAACGTCCATGCAAGAAGACAGATATCTGAAACCATATAGATTAAACAACACATGTAACGTATGTTTAATATGAAAAATATCGCGCGTGTGTGTGTGTGCGCGTGCGTGCGTGTGTGCGTGCGTGCTGCGTGCGTGCGCGCGCCTGTGCCTGTGCCGCCAATATGTCAGTGCATGTGGCTGGGTACATGTGTGTAGGAGGGGTGTGGGTGAAGGGCGTGAGGGAGGGATGTGTGTGCCGCCGATATGTCAGTGCATGTGGCTGGGTACACGTGTATAGGAGGGGTGGGGGTGTGAGGGAGGGTGTGTGTGCCGCCGATATGTCAGTGCATGTGGCTGGGTACACGTGTGTAGGAGGGGTGTGGGTGAAGGGCGTGAGGGAGGGGTGTGTGTGCCGCCGATATGTCAGTGCATGTGGCTGGGTACACGTGTGTAGGAGGGGTGAGGGAGGGGTGTGTGTGCCGCCGATATGTCAGTGCATGTGGCTGGGTACACGTGTATAGGAGGGGTGGGGGTGTGAGGGAGGGGTGTGTGTGCCGCCGATATGTCAGTGCATGTGGCTGGGTACACGTGTGTAGTAGGGGTGTGGGTGAAGGGTGTGAGGGAGGGATGTGTGTGCCGCCGATATGTCAGTGCATGTGGCTGGGTACACGTGTGTAGGAGGGGTGTGGGGCGTGAGGGAGGGGTGTGTGTGCCGCCGATATGTCAGTGCATGTGGCTGGGTACACGTGTATAGGAGGGGTGGGGGTGTGAGGGAGGGGTGTGTGTGCCGCCGATATGTCAGTGCATGTGGCTGGGTACACGTGTATAGGAGGGGTGGGGGTGTGAGGGAGGGGTGTGTGTGCCACCGATATGTCAGTGCATGTGGCTGGGTACACGTGTATAGGAGGGGTGGGGGTGTGAGGGAGGGGTGTGTGTGCCGCCGATATGTCAGTGCATGTGGCTGGGTACACGTGTGTAGGAGGAGTGTGGGTGTTGGGTGTGAGGGAGGGATGTGTGTGCCGCCGATATGTCAGTGCATGTGGCTGGGTACACGTGTGTAGGAGGGGTGTGGGTGAGGGAGGGGTGTGTAAGCCGCCGATATGTCAGTGCATGTGGCTGGGTACACGTGTGTAGGAGGGGTGTGGGGCGTGAGGGAGGGGTGTGGGGGCCGCCGATATGTCAGTGCATGTAGCTGGGTACACGTGTATAGGAGGAGTGTGGGTGTGGGGTGTGAGGGAGGGGTGTGTGCCGCCGATATGTCAGTGCGTGTGGCTGGGTACACGTGTGTAGGAGGGATGTGGGGCGTGAGGGAGGGTGTGTGTGCCGCCGATATGTCAGTGCATGTGGCTGGGTACAGGTGTATAGGAGGGGTGTGGGTGTGAGTTCTGAGGGAGGGGTGTGTGTGCTGCCGATATGTCAGTGCATGTGGCTGGGTACACGTGTATAGGAGGAGTGTGGGTGTGGGGTGTGAGGGAGGGTGTGTGTGCCGCCGATATGTCAGTGCATGTGGCTGGGTACACGTGTATAGGAGGGGTGTGGGTGTGGGTTGTGAGGGAGGGGTGTGTGTGCCGCCGATATGTCAGTGCATGTGGCTGGGTACAGGTGTGTAGGAGGGTTGTGGGTGTAGGGCGTGAGGGAGGGGTGTGTGTGCCACCGATATGTCAGTGCATGTGGCTGGGTACACGTGTATAGGAGGGGTGTGGGTGTGGGTTGTGAGGGAGGGGTGTGTGTGCCGCCGATATGTCAGTGCATGTGGCTGGGTACAGGTGTATAGGAGGGTTGTGGGTGTGGGGCGTGAGGGAGGGGTGTGTGTGCCGCCGATATGTCAGTGCATGTGGCTGGGTACACGTGTATAGGAGGGGTGGGGGTGTGAGGGAGGGGTGTGTGTGCCGCCGATATGTCAGTGCATGTGGCTGGGTACACGTGTATAGGAGGGGTGGGGGTGTGAGGGAGGGGTGTGTGTGCCACCGATATGTCAGTGCATGTGGCTGGGTACACGTGTATAGGAGGGGTGGGGGTGTGAGGGAGGGGTGTGTGTGCCGCCGATATGTCAGTGCATGTGGCTGGGTACACGTGTGTAGGAGGGGTGTGGGTGAGGGAGGGGTGTGTAAGCCGCCGATATGTCAGTGCATGTGGCTGGGTACACGTGTGTAGGAGGGGTGTGGGGCGTGAGGGAGGGGTGTGGGGGCCGCCGATATGTCAGTGCATGTAGCTGGGTACACGTGTATAGGAGGAGTGTGGGTGTGGGGTGTGAGGGAGGGGTGTGTGCCGCCGATATGTCAGTGCGTGTGGCTGGGTACACGTGTGTAGGAGGGATGTGGGGCGTGAGGGAGGGTGTGTGTGCCGCCGATATGTCAGTGCATGTGGCTGGGTACAGGTGTATAGGAGGGGTGTGGGTGTGAGTTCTGAGGGAGGGGTGTGTGTGCTGCCGATATGTCAGTGCATGTGGCTGGGTACACGTGTATAGGAGGAGTGTGGGTGTGGGGTGTGAGGGAGGGTGTGTGTGCCGCCGATATGTCAGTGCATGTGGCTGGGTACACGTGTATAGGAGGGGTGTGGGTGTGGGTTGTGAGGGAGGGGTGTGTGTGCCGCCGATATGTCAGTGCATGTGGCTGGGTACAGGTGTGTAGGAGGGTTGTGGGTGTAGGGCGTGAGGGAGGGGTGTGTGTGCCACCGATATGTCAGTGCATGTGGCTGGGTACAGGTGTGTAGGAGGGGTGTTGGGGTGTGAGGGAGGGGTGTGTGTGCCGCCGATATGTCAGTGCATGTGGCTGGGTACACGTGTATAGGAGGGGTGGGGGTGTGAGGGAGGGGTGTGTGTGCCGCCGATATGTCAGTGCATGTGGCTGGGTACACGTGTATAGGAGGGGTGGGGGTGTGAGGGAGGGGTGTGTGTGCCACCGATATGTCAGTGCATGTGGCTGGGTACATGTGTGTAGGAGGGGTGTTGGGGTGGGGCGTGAGGCAGGGGTGTGTGTGCCGCCGATATGTCAGTGCATGTGGCTGGGTACACGTGTATAGGAGGGGTGGGGGTGTGAGGGAGGGGTGTGTGTGCCGCCGATATGTCAGTGCATGTGGCTGGGTACACGTGTATAGGAGGGGTGGGGGTGTGAGGGAGGGGTGTGTGTGCCGCCGATATGTCAGTGCATGTGGCTGGGTACACGTGTGTAGTAGGGGTGTGGGTGAAGGGTGTGAGGGGGGGATGTGTGTGCCGCCGATATGTCAGTGCATGTGGCTGGGTACACGTGTATAGGAGGGGGGGGGGGGGGGGGGGGGGGGGTGAGGGATGGGTACACGTGTATAGGAGGGGGGGGGAGGGGGGGGGGGGTGAGGGAGGGGTGTGTATGCCGCCGATATGTCAGTGCATGTGGCTGGGTACACGTGTGTAGGAGGGGTGTGAGGGAGGGGTGTGTATGCCGCCGATATGTCAGTGCATGTGGCTGGGTACACGTGTGTAGGAGGGGTGTGAGGGAGGGGTGTGTATGCGCCGATATGTCAGTGCATGTGGCTGGGTACTCGTGTGTAGGAGGGGTGTGAGGGAGGGGTGTGTATGCGCCGATATGTCAGTGCATGTGGCTGGGTACTCGTGTGTAGGAGGGGTGTGAGGGAGGGGTGTGTATGCCGCCGATATGTCAGTGCATGTGGCTGGGTACACGTGTGGAGGAGGGGTGTGGGGTGTGGGGTGTAAGGAAGGGATGTGTGTGCCGCCGATATGTCAATGCATGTGGCTGGGTACACGTGTGTCGGAAGATGTGGGGGTTGGGTGTGAGGGAGGTGTGTGTGTGCCGCCGATATGTCAGTGCATGTGGCTCAGTACATGTGTGGTGCATGTATGTAGAGGCATGTTGAACAACTCTGCGTGTGCGTGTGCGTGCGCGTGCGCGTGCGCGTGTGCGTGTATTCGTGTGTGTCTGCGTGTGTGCGCGCCTGTGCTTGCGCCTGTGCGTGTGTGTGTGTGTTCCGTCTGTATGTCAAAGCATGTCGATGAGTTCGAGTCAGTATAATTGGGCGTTCTATTAAGGAAGATTTTTTTGTTATACTTTATATATTTATTACTTATAGGAAATTATCCTATGTTTGAACATACTCTGTTTCAAGAGGTCAAAAGAAACCCTATGCCAAAGTGAGGAGCGGTGTAAAAACTTCATAGCAGAGTTCTCCTCCCAAGTTGGGAGTCTTGGAAATTTAACGAACCTACTATCCGGACTTCGAGAACCGATCGGCAGGATTCACAGGGTTACAGGAGCATCAATTCACGGCGGTCTTCACAGTTTGATATTAGTGGCTCCGACGAATGGGTCAGTTCAAATGGTGAGGTCATATAGTGTAAGCCACTTAAAAAGAATACTTGAGGCTCAGAATTTGTATAAATTTGTTATATAGGTCGAATTTTACTTTGATTTAATTTCGGGATGGAAAAGAACTCAAATATGAGGAACCGGAACCGAATTTCGCATGTTAAATTATTTAAAATAAACTGGGAGGGGCAAAGAAAGAATACCGAGTCTGTTTTTTATGTAATTGAAAAATAAAAGAAATGTTGTTAAATATGATTATGCATATATCACTCATCCCTGCAATAGTTGTAAAAAGTAATCTCTGTCGGGGTAAGTTTGTGTAAAAATATAATAGATTGGTTCAGTGAAGACTGAGTCAAGAAATGAATTTGCAACCGCATACCTCTCACCATGTTTGAAATGTCGCACATTGGTGCCGAAAAAGCAAATTTAATGATTTTCAAAGATAAGACCCCCCCCCCCCCCCCCCCCCCCTGCGTAATCCCATTAATTCTAAAATCCAGTATATTATTTCAGTTATACATAACACGAAACAAAAACCTGCTGAAAGGTGTTTACATCGGCAATCTGTCAATCGAGGGGACAGCAGTCAGACAGATGAAGATCGTTGAAGATGATGGTGTGATCGTTCTCTACGAAAACAGAGTAAGACGTTAATTTGTATTTTCCTTGTTGCCTATGTATGAACGTGTATACGGACTTCGGAACAATACAGTGTAGTGATCACCCCGAGTAGCCAGTAGAATGGCATGATGCTACTAAACAAAGTACGAAATGTGTATATATGTAAGTAAGATATTAAACTGACAAGGAAAACCATTTCGCTTCTTTGGCGACTTAAATCTACCCTGCACTCCTTCATAGATTGAACAGTTCAAGTAAAGGATGCACATGGCTTCCAGTTTTCCTCGTAATAACATGTGGAATTAAATAGGTAAAGGTGGCCTCATGGGTGGCAATGCATCTATACCATTATGACAATGTATCCATACCCGTGCTCGTGGGTTTCACTAAAAATGGTAAACGTCTGAGACCTGCATCATTTCTGGCAAATCTTCCACATTAAGCTGACACGCCATGATGTAACTGTTGAAAGTGGCTTCAACCAAACGCTCGTGCTGTATAACAGCAATGATAGATGGATGTGTACTGTTGGGCTTGGAGAATTTACCTGCCACAAAAAAATGACATTGTTGCATGGTGTTTTGCTTTAAGTTTATATGCCACTATGAAACATAGAACATGGTCTTATCAATCCTCTGTCAGCTGAACAAGCATGTATATTTTAACTCTATGTATATTGGGAATCGGAGTTTGGCCGCTGCATCTCGTGTTTATGTAAAGATTCCTTTAAGAGGATCTAGCTTCATCTGAAGTAAGGGCTTTAGGGTAGCCTAGTGGTTAAAGCATGAGCCGGGGCTGACCCACCACCCACCCCACCCCATCTCATCCCAACCCCACCCCGTCCCACCCCACCCCACATGTATACAAATGAGTGAAACCAATTCTATTGTCCACCGCAGTGATCATATTGCTGGAATATTGCTGAAAGACACGTTGAATCCAGCTCACTTATTTACTCATATTAAGACACAACTGGGTCGTTTAAAGGCTTTTTCACATACTTCCTTTTGCGTTTGATTACCTAACAGTTACTGGCTACATCACAACACAATATTGGTATGGGATGCAGCACGAGGATCCGGTCTCACATACATCAGTACCACAACGTATCGTATCAAACGGAAACGTAGCAACAAATCACAGACTTATTTGTTTGAATGTTTTAATGACCATGACTTACATTGCAGACTGAGAAAGAGTGCCTGCACAAAGTTCCGTGCAATGGTATTATTTCATCATGTTTGAATCGGTCTGATCCGTTCTGTGGATGGTGTTGGAACAAAACAAAGTATGTTGTAAGCGATTTTGTAAGCATTAGTGTGTTAAAATATGCATAATCAGCATTTGCAGGCATATTGTGTGTAGCTTCGTACTATGGTTTGGTTTTAAGTTCCGAGAACCAGTTATCAGAATCGATTGGTCAACGACTTGCTGTGTAGCACGTTTTAAACTCTCAAGAATGAGTTTTTGTCCATTCAACAGCTAGTTCATGTGCTCTTGGTTGGTATTCTGCTTAATATGGACAAACGCAACTGTAGAAACATTGATTGTATTAGATATTAAGATTTACTGGAATGACTATGGCGTGTACACAAACACCACACCACGACACACCACACCACACCACACCACACCACACCATGCCACGCCACACAGACAATACGCTTCAGTTAACAGGTTTTATTGATGGGTTTTGTACTGGTGATTGAGTACATTGTGCTTTGAGTGATTTTAACATTTTACAGAATAGTGCATGGCACTGACTGATGGGAGTCGTACATTGCATTGAAAGGTTGTGTACCTTTCAACGTTGTGCATTTCATGGAGTGGTGTTGTCCATTTCACAGAAGGCTGTTGTATATTTCAGATGTACTACATTCAAGGACTGTGGTCACCTCTATTGGATACCAATTAACGCAGATGATGTACGTATGTGAATCATGTTCACTCTGGTTTGAAGTGATTTTCAAACACAAAGTAGGCATGTCAAACCCTAAAACTTAGTGTTTGTATTGAAAGAGTAAAAGTTTTGATATTTTCTTTGATATATATATATATATATATATATATATATATATATATATATATATATATATATATATATATATATATACACACAAGTATGATCCAATTATGCCTGATGATCGAACGCAATAACATGGGTGCGTGCATCCAAATCTGTATATATATATATATATATATATATATATATTCTGGTTTTCACTAATTATGATAGATTTATGATGCGGACCGTGTTATTCATTAGTCTTTTCAGAGCTTTTATCGTCAAGTAATTAGGTATCTAATTTGTTGTGAGTGAGCCAGACATAGAGGAAACACATAATTACCTCAATCCAGCCAAGCATTGTAAATCCATATCACCTACTTACTTTTTCCCGTCTTTCACCAAAACATCAGGCGAAGTGGGTGGAAACCAACACAACGCGTCAGCTCCAGAACATCCAGGTTTCCAGTGAACTATTTTACATTTAATAAAACCTCGGGATGTTTTATTGATTTAGCAAAACCTGGGGACGTTTCATTGATTTAGTAAAACCCGAGGACGTTTAATTCATTTTGTAAAACCTTGGGACGTTTTGATTTAGTAAAACTTGGAAACGTTTTATTTTATTTTGTTAAACCTGAGAACGTTTTATTGATAAGTAAAACCTGAAGTTGTTTTATTTATTTATTAAAACCTGGGACGTTTCATTGATTTAGTAAAACCTGAGGACGTATTTTATTTTTGTTTCAGGGAACAATTTGTGTACATCCCCCTCCCCTTCCCACCCCGGAATATCAAGGGCCCTTTACTGTATGTCATCGAGTGCTGTGTTACTGTTCCAGGGCGATGCTTTTATTGACACACTGAGTCCAGATAAGGGCCCAATGGCAGGGGGCACACGTCTCACGCTGAATGGGAGAAGCCTTCATCTCCTCAGCATCAGCATCAGCGCACTCACCATCACCATAGGGGAGAAGACGTGCACGGGCATCAACATTACGTACGGACGTTGAACCATATCATCTTTCCATGAGCATTGGCATCACTGACACTACGTGCATGGTATCGCAGTCCCGAGGCCGAGCGAACATTTTATTTTGTGCGTGCGTGCGTGCATGCGTGCGTGCGTGCGTGCGTGCGTGCGTGAGCATTTTCTTCGTGATTACGATTTATCAAACAGTACGTTTCTTCCCTGTAGAGTACTGTATAAACTCTGTGCGTTCAAAGCCATGTCAGCTATTTTCGGGCTACTTGGACGCGGATTGTACGTAGCCGAGTGACTAGTAACACTGTGATTATCAACGTCCTATGGATGCTGTGGGTACTATGACACTCAGTCGGCCAAGCCACCGAGCCTGACAACCCTGGTGCATTTAGTCGCCTCTTACGTGCATAATTAGCTGGGGACTTATTCTTTTTTTTTTTGTTATTTAACACCGTACTCAGCAATATTCCAGCTATATGACGGCGACTAGTAAATAATCGAGTGTGGACCAGACACACAAGTGATTGGTATTGCGAGCAACCATCCACACGTCCGGGGTACGAGCCAGACACCATGTCATTTGGTCGCCTCTTATGACCAGTATAGGTTCTGGGATCCTATTCTAACCCGGAATCCCCACGAATCAGTGTGAGTGAGTGAGTTTGGTTTAACGCCGCCTTGAACAGTATTCCAGTTACATCACGGCGTGTCAGCTTCATGTGGGAGGAAAGCCCGAGGATATGCAGGACTTAGATGTTTAGCAGGTTGTTAAAACCCACGAGCACGGGCATGATGCTGACGAATCTAGAAACATAATCGGGCCGAAACGGAATTCGAACCCATAATCATAGGTTTCTGGTACGTGAAAGGGACGTAATGCTGCACAGCGAAATACGGTGCTATAGACGATTGGCCACCAGAAATTAAACCTGTTCATCGCACATGACTCTGTTAAAGTAGAATGAGTGCGAGTGGTTTCGAATTTACCTACTGATTGTGGATCGAATGCAAATATTAGTGTGCATGCAGTGACAGTATTAACTTCCACGACGCCCCCTATACCTGGTGTCCGATGGTTCTGTTTCCATCCACAGTAGCCATGATGTCATGACGTGTCTCACACCCCCCAGTCAGTCGCCAGGACAACAGAACGTGACGTGGACGAACGGTAAAAGTGACATCAACCCAATCGGCACATTCCGTTACGTTGAAGACCCCACTATAGCAGGGATATTCCCAAACAGATCCTTTGACAGGTATTGGTGTACTTTATTATGCAATGTACATGTTAGTGTGTCTTATCATATATGTATACACAAAACATAAAGTACCTGTGATCTTGTTTATCATATTGCGATTGTTAAGAAGCAGAAAACTACTCTTTCCTTAAAAAAATAATGTGCCTTGGTGTTTAATTTAGCCATTGTCATGTCTAAAATAAAATTTAAACAAATTCGAAATGTGTTTAAAGCCATATATAGTCCATATTAATGTATATGATCACGTGGACGTTTGCAAATGGAAACAGAGTTACCGGTGTTCAGATTTCTGCAGATGTAAATGGTGAGGTGGGTGAAATGGGGTTTAACGTCGCGTTCAAGATAATTGCACTTACATAGCGACGTGCATGCATGTGTGTGTGGCTGCTTGTACTTGTCCGGACTAATGCCGAGTCAATAGCGGTAGCCTGTTGAGATGCCATGCCGCAGTTTAACATAAATACCCCACCAGACAGTTTACTGACTCCGAGCCAACCAGTCCTTGTTTTAGCCCCTTAATGCCGAGCGCCAGACAGGGTAACAGCAAGTACATCTTTTAACGTCTTTTGGTATGACACGTGAGGGGATCGAACCCCGGACCTTCCGCTCTCCGGGCGGATGCTCTACGACAAGACCACGGATGCAAATGGATGCATATGGTTAGGTAATTGTACATACATGGGAGCGAGTTCACTTTGAAAAATAATTACAGCAAAACGTGTCAATATTAAGCCTAAAGTGGACGTTTACTATCTTGGTGAAATGCACCAGCCCAAGCAGGGAGGATTCGAACCCACGCTCAGCGGATCCTTGCACAGCTCAGCCAGTGATCCACGTGTGCCTATTTATTTGACGGTCGAGTAAACCTGTGATATTGATGACTGCAGAGTAAAACCAAATTCACTCAAACCTCACAACTAAATATGACATGATTTATTTGATACACATCAGCATTTACAATAATGTTTCTAAAAACTTGATAATTGTGTTGAAGTGGCGGGAGAAACTTGGTAATATCAGGGACCAACTTCGACGCCATCCAGAATCCCAGAATGCAGATCGTGGGCGCGAGCGTGTCGGAGGTACATATTTCCTTTTGTCTGCCGCAATTTGTTTGTTTGTTTGTTGCTTACCATCGCTCACAGCAATATTCCAGCTATATGACGGCAGTCTGTAAATAATCGAGGCTGAACCAGACTATCCAGTGATTGAGATCATAATCATACGATGACATGCATCAACCAAGAGCCTGACCACCCGATCCCGTCAGTCGCCTCTTACGACATCGTTGCATGGTCTGCAGCAGTAATGCCGTAGTTGTAGTTATAACATCTTACACTGGAAGAATGTATATCTTTACTTCGTAAATATTTACGCCTTTCCAAAGCAAAAAACGTTTATATGTTGTAAATTTGACTTTTACAAGTCTAACCATTTGTTGAAATTATTAATTGTACATACAATTTGATCAATTTGAATTTAAAAGTTTTATAAAGATTCGGGTCTAAATTTTCATACAGTTAGATACATGTATGTTATTGTTACAACCTTAATAGTTCTATAGTATGTTCTTCTGATGTTACAAGCATGTACGTGTTAATGTTCAGGATACCACTCGGACATGTTAATTCGAATGTTCCAAAATTGCTTCAAAGGTCTTCAAAATAACAGGATTTCCAACACACATTATGACGTCTTGAATATGTTTACTTCTCTATTGCATGTATCTCGGTTCCGGAAAAAATAATAAGTGTTTGGGTGTACCTTTATTTTGGCAAATAGTAGTGGACGGATATATTGTGTACGGTTGAATTTAAATGCACAGTTAATAATAATTGTCAATTTGTTCCTATGCTAAATCTTATGCCCAAAGCGCATTATTAACCCCGGTCAATGGATTAAAGTGCTGCTTGTGAGGCACTAGAAGGTAACAACCGACTCATCCTACCGGATACCCATTCACTGCTAGGTGTATAGAGGCACATTTCGAACAAAGGAGACACCACATGTGTAACAGCGTGTAACTGTTTTCACCGAATAGCATAGCCAAGAAATATGTGTCTTATTATGTGTGTTCCTTGGTGTGACGAATGTGTGAGTCGCCGCAATTTATTGACAGGTTTCACGACCACAGTGCGCAGCGACAGCTTTAAGACACGGAGAGGAATATTATTTTAGTCGATACCTGTGGCGGGGATATATTTATATGTCAGCCATAAATTTACAGACAGGAATAGGAGCGTTGTTGGTTAGCCTAATCAGAACTTTTTAAACCACCAATGGCTGTACTAGACCCGTGAAGATCCGGACAGAGAATAGGCCTTCTGGCGACTAACGAGATCGCGTGGTCAGACTCGCTGACTTGGTTGATGAATGTCATCGTATCCCAATTGCGTAGATCGATGCTCATAATGTCAATCACTGGATTGTCTGGTCCAGACTCGATTATTTACTAACCGCTGTCAGATAGCTGGAATATTGCTGAGTGCGGCAACAAACAAACAAAAACAATATACTAGGGAGGAATGTATCATTGCAAGTATTGTTTCACTGTTTAGGGTTGCCGCCACACAAATGACAGTTTGATAGAGTGTAGTGCTCCAACAATCACGAAGGACCTCAGAGACAAGCTTGAGATAGACAACAACCCCGACAACGCTGATCTAATACAAGTGGAGGTGGAATTCAAAATGGATGGAGTCAATTCCAGTTTACTTCGCCAGACCTTGGAGATAGTGAGCGATCCCGTATTCTATAACTTCACTGAGGAGGGCATGACCAAAGAGCTCGTGGAGGGGATACGAACTGTCATCATCATCAGGGTGAGGCCCTTTTTCCATGACTTTTGTTTTCAAAACTTACAGGGTAGGGAGGGAGTGGGGGGACTTTCTATCGTAGGTTACATATCTATAAAAGTACAGTAAAATTTAATGTACCACGTGATCTCCTCGTTGATCGAAATGTGAACAGACGGGTCAGAGGTCATGGTGTCAATCCTTAAATTCTTCTACGACCCAAAAGTCGAAATCCGGTGTCAAAATGCAATTGGAGTTTAAAAAGACGTTTCTAAAGAGTTTTATAAATTTAGAATATTTTAGGGCAACTGAATGGCTGGCGGGTCTTGAGGAAGAAGAAAAATATTTTTACAAGGAAAATGGGTTAATTAGTGAGTAAATGAATATTGTATAACACTGATGTCGCATGGGTTGCGGAATTTTCACAACTTCACAACTTAATGAAATAGATCATTATTATGTTTTATATCTCCAAGAATCGTATTTAACAAACGAAGCCGAAAATCGTTTTTCTAGCATTTCCGACAGTACTTCACGTGTATATTCTGACCCCGGAATCCCAACATCTGACATAAGGATGAGGTGGTATGTAAATGTAGTTTTCTGGTACCAAAACTTTCACAAGCATCACTATCCTGAATGACATTAAACTACACTGAAAATACAGGCCACGCTCTTCAATTCTTGCAAGTGTATGTTATGTTTTATTAAAGTTCCATGATACAAATGCCATGATAATTCCACGAAGTAAAGATTGTAATCCTGCACCGTCTAAAACATGGAATTGCTAGAGTACCCGGGGTGGTGTTTATGATCCGGCTCGTGCCGTTGTAGAACACAGACACAGGCAGATGATTGTGCGTTTATTAGACTGGGGGTGGCTGCTGCTGTTACGTCACGTAACTATATGTTACTACTTCATGTCCGTTATTCAGTTATGGCCTGATGAGTTGAAAGCGCGAGCCTATTAAAACTGTGTTCAATCTTACTCCACTTATTTAATTATTACTATATTAATATATATATATATATATATATATATATATATATATATATATATATATATATATACACATATATATATTCAATTTAATTCAACACCCTAATATAGATATCAAGGCAGATGAAAACAGATTGAAATGTGGCCATTCCATACCTGAAGAAAAGAAAATATCCTTCCTCCTCAACAGCAGCACACGAAGTGAGGAGGAAGTCAGGTATGGAAGGAAGCTACCTGTAGAGGACCAGGGTGGCCATTTAAAAGATAGATTGCCTTAAGTATCAAAGGAAGTGCTTAATGCAAGATATAAATAGACTGAGGGAAACCCTACACGTGTGAAAAAGTGTCTAAAGACAGACAGAAGGTTGAAGATCTGGTGAGAGATTCCCAGAGACTGAAAATAAGGGTGTCATGATCAAGTACTTTAAAGAGTTATTTACTGACATGCAACTGTAGACAGGACAAAAAATGGACATTTAGATATATATACAAGACAATGAAGGTTTCCGTCAGTTATTATGAAACATGCATTAATGACAGATTGGCACATGGGAAATGATCACGCACGTGGCAAATGTGAATCTCTTTATTATTAAGGCGTTTCTAATTTGAACATCTGCCCAAAGGCAAGTCATACGTGGTGTTAGAGCATGTGTCACACATGCACAGGTGTGCAGGAATCAGAGCACGTAGACGTGTCAGGAGTATCCCCGAACTAAGTAATTTCCGCGAGGAGAGCACGTTACAGCACGTGCTTTACGAGTTTCACCAGCTGCACGTGCTCGTTTTGCCAACAACTTAATTGCAATGCTCTTCAAAGGTTTAATGTTATAACAAGGACACACTTGCTTTAAAGGATACATATACTATATTTATTGTCATAGCTGTTAAAATATAAATAGGCTGGATGAGCGGGTTTAATGTACTTTTTTTAAAATTTGAATAAGCACAATGTGACGAGTGTTTGTTTCATTAGCCCCTTCTAACTCACAACCTTTCGCAAACGAACGGACAATGCTGATATAATTCGCTTTATTTGAATGTTGCGACCCTTCGCGGAAGTCAATGCAGGTAGACTTACGATCAGCACAAATATTATTTGGTTTGATATATAGTTTTAATGAGTTTCAGTCAATTCCGGCAGTGATTGCGATTGACTGTAGGAACGCCTAATTCGTATCCTTCCCAAGATAAAATACGATCGTTACGAAGTCACAGAAGGAAAACTTAATGTTTGTTTGTTGTTAAACGCCGCACTCAGAAATATTCCAGTTATATGACGAGGTTTAGTAAATAATCGAGTCTGGACCAGACAATCCAGTGATCAACCAAGTCAGCGAGCCTGACCACCCGATCCCGTTAGTCGCCTTTTACAAGCATGGTCGCCTCTTACTGCAAGTTCCTGAAGGCCTTATTTCTTCCCGGATCTTCACGGGTCTAGCACAGCCATTGGTGGTTTAAAAAAGAATAAACTGTTCTGATTAGGCCAACCAACAACGCTCCTATTCCTGTCTGTAAATTTATGGCTGACATATAAATATATCCCCGCCACAGGTATCGACTAAAATTATATTCCTCTCCGTGTCTTAAAGCTGTCGCTGCGCACTGTGGTCGTGAAACCTGTCAATAAACACAAAGGAACACACATAATAAGACACATGTTTCTTTGCTATGCTCTTCGGTGAAAACGTGTGGTGTCTCCTTGGACAAGGGACTTTGTTCGAAATGTGCCTCTATACACCCAGCAGTGAATGGGTACCCGGTAGGATGAGTCGGCTTTTAACATTCTAGCGCCTCAAAGGCAGCTTGTGTTGTGCCCTCCCCAGTGAGTTGAGAATGAAATTCAAGTGCACATTGATCCATTGACCGGGGATATTAATGCGCTTTGAGCCTGAGATTCAGCATAGGAAAAGCGCCATACAAATGGACTATTGTTATTAACTGTGCATTTATAATCAACTGGACACAATATATCTGTCCATCAAACCAAGTCAGCGAACCTGACCACCCGATCCCGTTTGCCGACTTATACGACAAGCATAGTCACCTCTTTCGACAAAACATGGGTTGCTGAAGAACTATTCTAACCCGGATCTTCACAACGTTATAAAATACATGAACACTTCACTGATAGATCCGCCTGGATTGCCTGCCTGATTGCTGTGCTGCTGATGTCAACACCCGGAAAAGTCACAACGACCTGGCCACTTCATGCACCTGTGCATGTGCTTTGAGTGCGAGGGCGATACCATTCTGATAATTAAGGGGTGCCCGTCATAGGCTGATATAACTTCCATTCGCCCACATTTTCGTGATATTTGGCATCTGAAAACTTCAAACACCGTAAATAAACAACACACACACGCATGCACCTCTTTATCCACGTCCTTTATACCTGTGTATATCCACTTGCAGGGGGAACGAATCAATATAGCTGCAGCAGCAGCTGACTTCCACGTGACTGTTGGTAGGAATAGCTGTGACGTACTCTCCAGGAAGGTGTACAGAACTGAGATCCACTGCCTGGCCCCGGAAAGTCGCCCACTCACAATATCTGACGATTCCGAGGAGCCTGAAGTTCAGGTTTGTGAGGGGCTGCACTTATAACATTGTGGAAAGAGTGAGTTGAACTTAACGCCGCGTTGAACAGTATTCCAGTTATAGTCCGGCTTCTTCACGGACGCAGTGACGGTGAGAGTAAATGGCTGGTGAAATAGTGATAAAACCCACGAGTATGGTGCTGATAATTGACGCCAGTTTAAAAGTAAAATATGGTTTACTGTTCTAAAAATAATATGTATTGGATCCCCCCCCCCCCCCCCCCCCCCCCCATCCGACATGGATGCAATGTGTGAAGACCATTTCTGGTGTCCCCCGCCGTGATATTGCTGGAATATTGCCAAAAGCGGCCTAAAACATACTCACTCACACACTCACATGCACGCACGCACGCACGCACGCACGCACACACGCACGCACGCACGCGCGCACACACACACACACACACACACCCTCCCTCTCCCCCGCCTCTCTCTCACACACATACACACAAACACAAACACACACACACACATCAATTTTTTGTATGTTGAATCTTGATCGCCTGCATATGGCGGTATTGTTGTGCAGATACGCCTGGGTTATATACAACGTCGTGTCGGCTACCTGCGTTATATCCCATCCTCCAAAGTACACTTGTACTTGTATATAACCGTCGGCTTCCTGGCACTCGGCGTCCTGGCCCTCGTTATCATCGGCGTCCTTCTACGACGTCGGAGCCGACTGGCGGTAGAGAAATTGCAGGACGACATGGAGCAGATGGAGCTCCGGATGCAAACCGAATTCCGGCAAGGTGAGTATGATCGACAGTACTGACGGGTCGGCACAGTGAGTATGATCGACAGTACTGACTGGTAGGCACAGTGAGTGGGATCGACAGTACTGACGGGTCGGCACAGTGAGTGGGATCGACAGTACTGACGGGTCGGCACAGTGAGTGGGATCGACAGTACTGACGGGTCGGCACAGTGAGTGGGATCGACAGTACTGACTGGTCGGCACAGTGAGTGGGATCGACAGTACTGACTGGTCGGCACAGTGAGTGGGATCGACAGTACTGACTGGTCGGCACAGTGAGTGGGATCGACAGTACTGACGGGTCGGCACATTGGGTAGGATCGACAGTACTGACGGGTCTTTACAGTTCGTATGATCGTGTTTGGCACCCCAACCTTGGAAAGTTGTGCACTCCCACCCCTTTCCAAAAAAACTGTATCTGTGCATGCGAGGTTTGAGTTGAAGCAAAGCTGACATGATTTTCTTTTATACCAGCCTTCGCTGAGCTTCAGACAGACATGACCGACATTACAGGCGAGCTGGTGGAGACAGGCCTACCTTACAACAAGTTCAATGTCTACGCTTTCCAAATACTCTTCCCAACCGATGACGTCACAGAGATGACGTCACACAAACTGGCTAGATATCCTGAAATTGTAAGTAGGATATCGATAAAACTTGTGTCTCCTTATTCTTATAAACACCCAGCTCATCCAGTTACAACCGCGTTATATTTTGTTTCGTCTTGCGTGACTTGCTGTTCTGAGTACCTCCAGTCTGATCCATCGGGGCTGTCAAGATGTCTCCATATACTTGAATAAATTAATTTGTCAAGAATGTTCACATCATTAAGTCCTCCTGCTGTTGTCATACCCCCTAGACCGCAGCCTTTACACCAGAGGTATGTTTATTTGGTAAGGTGTCAGATTCGGCGGAATGACTGCACGATGCATTTTGACGGTCATTCTCTTTACAATTATTATAAATAATGGAGTGGCAGTTAAATCAATCCAGGGCTTTGAGACTGCTAAGTGAAGTTTACTAAATATTCTGTTTTCGTGGTCATTGAGACGGTGTCGACTGTACGAGTTATTCTGTTACAATGGTGTTTTAGACAGTGCTGACTGTACTAGTTATTCTGTTTCAATGGTGTTTTAGACAGTGCTGACTGTACTAGTTATTCTGTTACAATGGTGTTTTAGACAGTGCTGACTGTACGAGTTATTCTGTTAAAATGGTGTTTTAGACAGTGCTGACTGTACTAGTTATTCTGTTACAATGGTGTTTTAGACAGTGCTGACTGTACGAGTTATTCTGTTACAATGGTGTTTTAGACAGTGCTGACTGTACGAGTTATTCTGTTACAATGGTGTTTTAGACAGTGCTGACTGTACTAGTTATTCTGTTACAATGGTGTTTTAGACAGTGCTGACTGTACTAGTTATTCTGTTACAATGGTGTTTTAGACAGTGCTGACTGTACGAGTTATTCTGTTACAATGGTGTTTTAGACAGTGCTGACTGTACGAGTTATTCTGTTACAATGGTGTTTTAGACAGTGCTGACTGTACTAGTTATTCTGTTACAATGGTGTTTTAGACAGTGCTGACTGTACTAGGTATTCTGTTACAATGGTGTTTTAGACAGTGCTGACTGTACTAGTTATTCTGTTACAATGGTGTTTTAGACAGTGCTGACTGTACTAGGTATTCTGTTACAATGGTGTTTTAGACAGTGCTGACTGTACGAGTTATTCTGTTACAATGGTGTTTTAGACAGTGCTGACTGTACTAGGTATTCTGTTTCAATGGTGTTTTAGACAGTGCTAACTGTACTTATTTTTTTGTTTCTCCTGTGTTCAGTTCAGTGTTTACTGTACTAATTATTCTGTTTCTGTGGAATTCAGGATTGTGTTGACGTGACATCCCTAGACACTGCCATGCTGGAACTGGAAAGTCTCTTCTTGAACAAGTTCTTCGTCATCACCGTCATTAACACCCTGGAAAATCAGAGGACGTTATCTCTGTCCGACAAGTAAGCACGCTAACCAGCACTGACAAAACTAGCATTCCACTCAGTTCGGGAGTGATATTCATGAGCTGTACTTCACAGCACTAAGTTTGAGCAACTCAAACTCACAGTCTGAAAACGTGCAAACAACTCAAAGTCTCCTTGTCTTGTCTCGATGATCATAGAAACAGTGTTCTCTTTTTACATAAGGGCATTCGCGTGAAGATCCGGATTAGAATAAGTCTTCAGCAACCCATGCTTGCCGTAAGAGGCGATTAACGGGATCGGGTGATCACGGCTGGTTCACTCTTAATTCATCCGCATCCAACTTTCAGAAAAAAATATCATATAACATAGCGTAACATATATAGGGAAATACGTATTATACTCACTTGAATCATACTTGAATCATGCTTGAATCATACTTAAATCATACTTGAAATTGAAGGGCACTGAAGTCGTAGTTTATCCACACAGTCTTACCATCAGAATGTTGTCGTATGTGTATTGATGGAAGGGAGAAATACCGATGGGCAAAGCAGAAGGGGTCGTCACGATAAAGACCCGTGTGAAGCACCTCACTATAATGTGGCTTGCTATATTGCTAAAATTACAACTATTTCAGATCAACCTTCGCCGGGTGTCTCGCGGCATGTCTGTTACAGAATATGGACTTTTTCTCGCAGTAAGCTTTTTTTTTATTTAATAATTTTTGTTTAATTTGTAGATTGAGAAATATAATATTCCAGACATTTACCAAAATGAAATAACAATGCAATGAACATGTATTTGTTGTTCTTGTCTGACTTATGAAACTAGTTAACTATGTAAAGGCATTCGCTGTGAAAGGTTTCTGTTATCTGATGTTATGACTTGTCTTAAGTGAAAACAAAAGAAAATAAGTTATGTATACGCCACCTGTACCTTGATGCGGTGTACATTTCTTTGTATTTAGCTGTAGTCATAAATCATTACAGCCATCAACAGAATACTATTTTTTCAGACTGACCAAATTACTGCTGGAGCAGTATGTACCTGATGCTATTGCAAGAAAGAAACACAAAAGTCTCTTTCGAAGGTAACGATTAGATAACTTCGCCGTACACGTAACCATAGTGACTACATACGGGCACTCTATGAAACACTCACCTAGAAAAGTCATTAGAAGGAAATTGTTTTTGGATATATTTCATCAAAATAAACAAACTACTACTATTTGAACTACGTTTCTAACATCATTCGACACAAAATTGGTATTTAAAGCAGAATGTTTTGGCTAATTCGAAACAGTTCAATTCTAAATAGTCAGTTTGATGGAGGAAAGACAAAGTGATACAGGTATTGCACGTTTACCACTTTGGTGAAACTCACGAGCACTGGTATTGTGCTGACAAACCTAGAAACATAATCGGGGCGAACCGGGATTCGAACTCTCAATCATAGGTTTCTGGTGTGCCTAAGGGACGCAACTCTGCACAGCGAAATGGATCATGAGGTCAGGCTCAGTGACTGTCATCGTACCTTCCTCATGACATCAACAATGGTCTGTCTGGACCAGACTTGACTTTTTTATAGGTCGCCGTGATTTCACTGGAACATTTGCTTAGTGCGACGTTAAACAAACTTTACTCACTCACATACTGATTACATTGCAGGTGCGAGTCTATCACGGAGACTGTCACGTCTACGTGGCTGGGGATGTGTCTGCACCAGCATCTCTTGAAAGTAAGTTGTCAGTGTAGAAGATGAGGGCTTCGTAAATGACTCAGTACAGAGGGTGTTTTCTTCGGAATCCCGTGTGGCGCCTCTTTTGTGTGTCAGTTCCGTGTGACCGAGAAACGAGTGTGAATGTCCTTATGTCTTGAAGTTTGTATTAGAATGAATGAGTATGATTTTACGCCGTTTATAGCACCATGCCCGGAATAAACCGCGTGTGGGCTACCCACATTGTGCTGGGGAATGGAACACCCACCCCAGAGCAGATACTGGGACTCCCTGCCGATGCTGCTGAGGGTTAGGTTACCAAGTGTTATAAAATATGTTATGCTATATTATACACTGTTGCAAATGTAAAAAAAAAATCGGAACACTTACCCTTGTTAAGGTTGCGGTGGACCAGCGTGGTATTCACTGAGAGCCAACTTGACCATTACGGTAGGGCCTTGCATCATTACGTCAGAAGCTATAAATAAATGTCTTTGCGTCTGTGGTGTCTTGCACGTGTTTGTTTCAGAGTCGCGGCGGTTCAGCTTTGATCATGTTGGTGAAGGCGATGCAGACGGTGATGGAGAAGGCCCCGATAGACGCCGTCACTGGAGCAGCTAGGGCCACACTGGCCTATGACCAACTGCTGCTGACCCAAACTGACAATGATCAATCGATAGTGAGGCCTTTACTTTATGACGTACAAGTAGTTATTACGTTGTGAAGATCCGGGTTAGAATAATATTCAGTGCAATTTACTTTTGTTTACCGAATATTGCTTGTAATGTATTTTGTTTATCGAATCTTGAGTATAATATATTTGGTTGATAAAACCTTGCTCAAATATGTTGACAAAATATTGTTTTTGTTTACAGAATCTTTGTTGTATTTTGTTCACAGACTCTTAAAGTGCAAATCAATGGAGGGGAGTTTGCGACGACCTGCGCCGTTCTGCAGTGTGACACAATAACACAGGTCAAGGCCAAATGTCTCGGGGTCATCTATAAGAAGGACCCGGCATCCATTCGGCCCCGTTCGGCGGATATAGATTTGCGTGAGTGTATTGCAAGTTGAAGTGAAAAACTTTTGTATTCCTACTGTGTCCACCTAAGCATGTTCCACAAATAACCCGAGCACCGGCCATCGTAACTCATACACGCACATAGACTGACCCTGCGCCAAGTCCAGAAAACCCTCGGCAGTGTGCCTTCGCCAGGTATAGGACGGACCACGAGGCACAGCACAGGCGTTCGTAGCATGAAATTTAAAAAGGAACTTAAATAAAAATTCACCACGAATAAACACTAATGTATGGACAGAATGTACTTAATGTGTAACTCTTTCCATTTCTCATATACAAAACAAGAGATACTTATGTCAAGTTGAATCTAAACATTTTAATGTTTGGCGGAACAAGCTACTTGAGTCGAGTGCATTCCGGAATAGACAACTCTTACCTCTTGTATTAGTCGCCACACCCACAACAGACAATCCCCGCACCTTATTGTCTGTTGCCAGCTGATGCGCCATTGTGGCAACACATGAACGGAAGGAAATTAGAAGTTGCCTGAAACATAAATTTAATGAAATATATTTTACAAAATTAACCATTTGGTTTAAAAACACTTATATGGAGAATTTTTTTACTACCAAAAGAACACGTTCAAATGCGGAATTTGAATAACGAAAGGAAATGATCAATGGCTTGAAATGAATCTGGAGATCTGCCCTTTCTTAGTACGAGGAAGACTAGATCATCTGGTGCCCCCTTTGGTATTCCGTAGTATTCCATGTTTACCCCTCGGATGTCTACATGTTTACTTACCCATGCTATCAACCACTGGTGTGACGAACCGAACCCAGGAACCGCACAGACAACTGCAATTACCTTGTCACAATGATGACGTGTGTCTAAAACTCACCCAAAGTAGGAATTGCGGTTTATGTGTTTGTTTATATTATCTGTGTCGCCAGTTTTATTGAAATGTATTGCAGCTGAAAAGTACTGACATGTTAACAACAAGTCCCATATGAATCATCATCCCTCTTCAACAGATGTGATGTTAAGGTCGACTAGGTCCGTGTTAGATTATCAGGAGGAAACTCATGCCAGTTGCGTCTTAGTTCGCAGCTCTGGTGTTTCCTGTTGGTGGTTTCAAGTGGGATAGTGTAATAGGATATGTTGTTTACGCATTAATACAACAAGGAACAGAACTTGATATGACATTGATGATGATATGTTAGGAAAATCTCAAAGCCAGATCCATATCATGCCGTACACGCCATGCAGTCATATGACGTTAATACACATGATTGATTCATGAGTATATTGTACAGATGACAATACACATGATTGATTCCTGGGTATATTGTACAGATAACAATACACATGGTTGATTCGTGGGTATAGTGTAAGATAACAATACACATGATTGATTCGTGGGTATATTGTACAGATGACAATACACATGATTGATTCATGAGTATACTGTACATATAACAATACACATGATTGATTCATGAGTATACTGTACAGTTAACAATACACATAATTGATTCATGAGTATACTGTACATATAACAATACACATGATTGATTCATGAGTATACTGTACAGTTAACAATACACATGATTGATTCGTTGGTATAGTGTAAGATAACAATACACATGATTGATTCTTGGGTATATTGTACAGATAACAATACACATGATTGATTCATGAGTATACTGTACAGTTAACAATACACATGGTTGATTCCTGGATATATTGTACAGATAAAAATACACATGGTTGATTCAACTGATTATGCTTCGGCGTGACTCAATATCAGCTCATTCAGCATGATTCAATAATGCTTGTTACTTCATACTCACTCTTGATAAAGAAAAAACCCATCGGTTTACATATTGTACTTATCAAAGCCTCCACTCCAAAACATCATTCTGCTGAGAATTACTCGAATTGTTTTGTTTCTCAATGACACATTCCTTGAACTGACATTATTGTTAAAGTTGGGGGAACTTCTTTAAAGTTAGGCGTTTCTAGGTGGATAACGTGAGCCTTCATACGATTGACTAATGAATAATTAGTCCTGCAATATATAGTCACGTTCATGTCTATGTAGGAAGGATTATCACATTGTAAACCTTACGTAAACTGACACCAAATTCATTTTAGTCACAAGATGTGACAACGGGCTTATAGCGGAAATTACTTGATAGTTATCTGAATTTTAATAATCGAACGCAATTTGATGCAAAAAACTGACACCAAATTCATTTTAGTCACAAGATGTGACAACGGGCTTATAGCGGAAATTACTTGATAGTTATCTGAATTTTAATAATCGAACGCAATTTGATGCAAAAAGTACATTACATTTGTGGGTCGAGGGGGCTTTCAGAAAGATGTTCATTTGCTCTGATTTTGTTGACTAGAATGGCTATCTGGCAACCAGGGGAAGTTGATACTCAAAGAGGAAGACACGTGCCCTGCCGCCGACGAGAATCACGTCAAGCTTATGACGTTGTCAGACTATCACGTCACTGACGGTTCGCTCGTCGAGCTCCTGAATAAACACACGACAGAAGAGGAGGAAGACCGATACGGTATACAAGTATTGCTCCACTGTCTGTCTACTCGGTACCAGTTGCGCACCCCTGCATGTCAAGCCGTGATAACATCATAGGGCAACATTCCCAAATATATAATATGTATAAAGTGCTGACTTGTTTCTTAAAAGCGTGTGTATTTGCTACAGTGACGTTATATCCGAGCTTCTTTATGAGGCAGTTTCTGTAAGGCTTGTTGATTTGTTGCTTTACGCCGCACTCAGCAATATTACAGCTATACGACGGCGGTCTGTAAATAATCGAATCCAATTGGGATACGATGACATTCATCAACCAAATCAGCGAGCCAGACCACTCGATCCTGTTAATTGCCACTTTAGTAATACGGTCAGGTGAAGGTGATATGAAATGGGGTTTAACGTTGCGTTCAAGATTATTGCACTTACATAGCGATGTGCAATAACGTGTGCATGCTTGCGTGCGTAGAGGTATCATGCCGCAGTTTAACAGGAATGCCCGACTCCGACACAGTATACTGACACCGAGCCGACCTGTCCTTGTTTTATCAGCTTAATGCCGAGCGCCAGGCAGGGTAACAACAACTACTTTTAGCGTCTTTCGCGTCCAGCCCCTTACGCGAGGCATGGGTTGCTGAAGACCCGGATCTTCACGGGTTTCAACACGGTGTGCCTTCATGTGTTGTATCCTTTTTCGCAACTATTCAACAGGCGCTAGTATTCATGATGTCGTTCAGACCACTTGGCAGATAATGATTGGTGTCAGCAGTTAGTAAATAGCGTTCCTCTTGATATATTAACTGTTTTAATAATGGAAGACACCTCGACCCAAATGTACCAAAGGGCTACGTGAAAAACTCTGTATAACAACTCTTGGCCAAATCCTTCAGTTGCACCAAAAGACAGTAGGCATGTGGCACTGATTAGAGAAAAATATACTACTAAAAATAAGTTGAGGACCACCCAATTCTCTCATAATACTACAGCTAATATTTTATGCCTAAGTTAAGAAGCACCCGTTTCTTTTATTTTACTATAGTTATCTGTCATGTCATGTCAATACAGATGAACTTTGTAATAGGAAAGAATCGGGTGGCCCTCAACTTTTATTAGCTGTATATGCCAAAGCCAAACACAAAGAGAGTATAGTGTCCGGGTGATTGAATACAACCGTCATTCCGTATCTGTTGATGAAATACAAAGGGTTTCGAGTTAGAGAGGCAGTAGTTTATTTTTAGGCCAATGATATTCGACAGACCACCTCCTTTGAAGTTACTTGAAACCTCGTTCCCCGCCCTGTTTCAGTGAACTACAAGAATATTCAGCAACAACAGCTAACTCATAGCGAGGTACAACTTCTCGTTGAAGACGAGGAAGAGGAAGAGGAGAAGGGAGGAAGTAGTAGAGTAGACGCCATCAGATACCACTTGGTAAGTTCCGGGTGGTGGAGTTGTGCATAGTCCCCTATGATTACCAATGCGGTTCGAATCAAATAGAAGTTTAGAAATTTAGAAATGTATTTTGCATTTGAACACAATGTTATGAACGGTAAAGTCAAATGACAAATGTTTTCTTTATACTCCCGAAGATCAAACACGCAACCTTCGTATCTGCAGCCCAGTTAGTGTAGCACCAGCACTAGGCTACAGGGGCGCTGATAAATCACAAGGCTTTTATTAAAAGAATGTCTTTTTCAAGTACCGTATGCCATCAACAGATATTTTACGCCCGTTTCCTAAGGTTCATGGAAAGTATGTTGAAAACGGAAAAGTGTTGATAAATGTTTCGTATTATGCGTTATAAGTTAGATGAAACACTTGGGTTTTTATGATATTTAAAACCCGCATTTAAATTTGTCAGAACCCTACCCGTGCTCGTGAGTTTCACAAACTTGGTAAACGGCTAGGGTTTTGCTCCTACATTAGGCTGGTGTAACTGCAATACTGTTCACAGCGGCCATTAAACCATCTCACCCATTGGCCTCCATATAGTACCTGAGAAGATCCGGGTTAGATTTGGTCTTCAGCAAATCATGCTTGTTGTAAAAGGCGACTAACGGGATCGGAGGGTCAGACTCGCTGACTTGGTTTATGTGTGTCTTCGTATCCCGCTTACGTTGATCGATGCTCATGATTTTAATCACTGAATTGTCTGGTTCACACTCGATTATTTACAGACCGCCGTCATACAGCTAGAATATTGCTGACTGCAGCGTTAAACAACAAACAAACAAACTACCATATACTTTTGGATTTTTATTTTGTTGATGATATTTGAAACTCGACAAGAACATTTTTTGTCCGTAAAACAAATAATACAAACATTGCCCTCACACACGTGTTCCTTTAATCCCATCTATAAACCTCATTTGTCTGTGGCAAACCACACAGGAATACAAATGGGTTAGGGATGGTCAACTGTTTTTGGTGGCTTAACTGTTAATGATCTATGAATCGGGTAAATGAATATACCCTAATAACATGAACTGGGTTTCAAATTCGTACATTGTTCTCATTTCAGTGCTTAGTAAAGACTTAAACTAGTATTATACAGCAATATTTTATACCATTGTATTTTGGACCGTCTTTGTCAAGCGTCCGCGAGTCAGTGTTTGAAGCGAACGTATAATATTGTCACCGGAATCTCTAAGAAATAATGACGTGGTTGTTTTCATCCCCCAGGTGAAGCCGGATGAGGAGGACCAAGGGAAGACCCGGATACTGCCGGAGGCCCACCTACACAAGCTGCTACAGGCCAAGGTAGCACGTGGTTATTATATATCATCAGATCACATACACTGTGTCATCAACTGTAATTAAACTTACAAGAGCTACTGTTCTTGATTCACACTTGTTTTTTGGAACCCATTTGAGACAATGGCTTTGCAGCTAAACTGCAGAACTGGCACTGAAAATTATGGACTTTTTTGGTGAAAAATATATAGCATGCTCGTTTTGGACTCCATCGTGAGTACAATTTACAGTTTAATCTGCAAATTCGCTATCGTGTCACTGGATATTGTTTCTGGTACATCGATCGCTTGATTGCCTGGTTTGTTGACAGGTCGCAGATGCACGGCAGCTGTACAGCTGTGCGGCGTCAGACAACAAACACTTACTTTATATACAAAATGTGTGGCGGGTGCTACCGGTAGGGCAGGACATGCTTACCCTTTTCGTGAAAACTTGGTGTGATCACTGATTTTCAGTCATCCATTCATATAAATGTCTCTGCTATTTTGCCTTTTTGCCCGATGGAATCTATTTCGGCAGAAAATCGAAGCTGGATATTCTCTGGCGTTGACGCTTTATATTGAATATCACTAGTGTTATCAATACTTTGTGGGATAGTAGCCTGTCCATGAGTCAGAAAAGTCCAGTTGCTTGTTTCGTTATGTATGGGTTTGACACCCCTGCACATGCAGTCACTCACCACACAGCACATAGTATAAACTCCAAGCATATTTAGATTTACGCTCATTACCTAAAGCATTGAGCTACTAACCGCAGAATAGATTTCCAATCCTTCGAGAGGCTTATCTGATATACAACTCAAACGAATTCGAGAGTCAAAACACAGTTTTGTCATTGAATCGCCTGGTGGGTGCCCGATCAGAATGTCCCTCAGTGTCTCAATCTTGCACTTGAAACTGACAAATGAGGATCGGGTGGTCACAATGTAGGACCTGGCTGCCTGCATGTCATTGTACCGGGTGGTGTGGCTCATAGCAGTCAACCGCTGGTGTGTCTGGTCCAGACTCGGAATATCCAGTCGTGATAAAGCTGGTATATAGCTTGCTGACGTAAAACAACACTCAGTCATTCCAACGAAGGATTGAGTTGTGTTTTACTCCACTTTTAACGTCGATGGACGGCAGGCGTGGGTGTGGGGAGGGGGGTGGCGGGGATGCACGAATGGGCTTGACACATATACAACTGAACCCAGCTCTTCCGCGTGACGAGCCAACACATTAACCACTAGGTTACCCACCGCTATATAACCAGAAACAGGCTAATTATAATCTGTTCATGTCTCTCTATCCAAGATAAATGTCAAGAAGTTTGTGGATGACGTCATCGACTCCGCGCTGGACAAGAAGGACGTCCCACTGTGTGTGAAGTACCTGTTCTGTGTACTAGAGGGACTGGCCCTGCGGCATGACGTGGACCAGGACACTCTCGTGTCTTGGAAGAACAACAGGTAGCGCAGTGTACCCTTTGAGAACTTACACATCTACATGCAGATGACCCCTGAAGATCCGGGTTAGAATAGGTCTTCCGCGACCCATGCCTGTCGTGACAGGCGACTCTACTTGACGTAAGAGGCGCCTAACGAGATACATGTCACCGCATCCCAATTGCATGGATGGATTCTCATGATATCAATCACTGGATTGTCTGGTCCAGACTCGATTATTTACAGACCGCCGTCATATTGCTGGAATATTTCTGAGTGCGGCGTTAAACAACAAATAAACAAACAAACAAAACTAACAAACATGTGGATATTTTAACAGTTTGGGGATGTGTAGAGAGGATATTCCAATGCAGATACCAGCTGAAATTCTTTTATTCATCTACGCTTTCGTCATGTACGTGCTTAGCTCGGCCTGGAACCCGCGGCTACCATTTTGTCTCTAACTGGTTCAGGTCTGAAGATAGGGACAGAGGAGAAACTGGACAATAAACACACTATTTCTGTGTCTGTTATTTGGCTGTTCAAACATCAATGTATTCGTTTTGCTTGTTTACTGTTTTAAAATCTACAATTTTTTAAGTTGTGCTTAGTTTACACTATGGCTATAAGGCGTTCAACTCAAAGCATGTTTTCAATAGTGAAACAAATAATGAACGTCAGTACATGTTCGAATAATAAAACTCGTTTGAGTTTTATTATTGATATAAACAATGCAGTAGTAGTAGTAGTAGCAGTACTAGTAGTAGTAGTAGTAGTAGTAGTATTAGTACTAGTAGTAGTGGTACCAGAACCAGAATCAGAATCAGAACACTAACACAGCATTAACTAGTTGTTTTACCGTGCAATCTTTTTTTTTACATTAACTGGAACAATTACTATTATTATTGTTGTTGTTTACATGCATTTGACAATATTCCATAAACATATCACGCACATGTTTCTAAAGCCATCAGCCGGCCACTATCCCCATCATACCATACTCATCATACTATAGGATTAAAGTGAGTATCTTGTATAAGTTCATACTCGATCATGTACAGGCCCCCGTGACATAACTGGCTTATTGTTGTAGTTGCTACAACTAAACTGAAACCATATATCTTTCGTTATCTACCCCTATTCAGAATCTTGCAATTCCATAGGTTAATCCGTACCACGTGGCGAAACAGTACTCGTCTGCTAGAAAACAAGATGGCGTCTGGTATATTAACATTTTACAGTTCGCAGCTTAGTTACTGTAATGGGGGACGCTTTAAATGCTTCATAAACTTTACTGTGAATTTCGGTATAACGAAACGAATAATTACTCTTGATGAGGTCAATATGAGAAAAGAAGAACTCGTAGACCCGACCCCTTCGGCGTCGTGACCGGACCGGACCCCTGAGGTGGCCTGACCGGACCGAAGGGGTCGGGTCCTTTTCGCATATTGACGTCATCAAGAGTAATTATTTGTATACTAATAACCAGATTGATGTATCTTTAATATGCGTCAGGACAAGGCTTCTCAACTATTTGAAATAGTCCGTAATGTTTGAATGGAAAATAGGTATATATGCGAGGCTCGGGTGTTTTCACCCGGTTGACTGTGTTCAGACCACTCGGTATTGATTCAGTCATTTCATGGGAGGTAACTCTTACAAGAATGATCCACGTTTTACCGTCTATGAAAATGCATTCCCTCCCATTGTTTGCGCCCGAACATCCCGTGTGAAATTTATCTAAACACATCGAAAAGTTAAAATAATATTAGAATCCTTTTTACATATTGTGTTTTGTTGGAAATGTGAGTTGTTATTGGACGTTAATCATGTTTGAGCATTGTCTGTGGCTAATTTTTTTTTTAAAGGCAGATAATTTCAGTACATATTTGGCAAGATACGTGTTGTTCGTTTTACATCGTGTTTGAACCAAATTGAGAAGATATTGAGATGATATCTCTACTTCAACTTAAGAAATAATAGTTCCTCTCATTATGCGAAAAGAAGGACAAAAACAAATCATTTTTTTTTTTTAAATATCTGGCAACGTGCACGACATCTGCGGTTATGCGCAGCTCCATGCATGACTCCCCCGTCTCGGCAGTGAGAGCACGCCCATTCCCATCCGCCTGTCCAGACACCAAGCTTGCAGTGTGAGACCGTGTGTAGGGATTCAAGGACCTTTGAAGTATTTCGTTAAATTGTGAAAAAATCGTAAAGCGACAATTTGAGAACAAATATTTAATTATTTTGTTTTCTTGACCGTAAGAATCTGCAAGTTGAAACTGTATGATGAGGGTAGCGCCGTCTTTGTTCCGCTTGTCTAGTGATCTGTCTAAAGTACCATGGGTCATATTTGATCTGAAACATTTGTTTCGAAATCTACTCTGATACAGCTGAGCCATTGTGTTGAATTATTGTATGGGCGTTTCCCCTCAACTGTGTAGAATCACGAAGCTTTCAAATGAGACAATTAGTCAGTTCTTGTTCCTTCAAAATTTCAAATTCATTTTGATCAATTATCTAGAATTGCGGAAATTCAATGAACTAGATGACTTCGTAAACATACAACCCCCCTGAAGTCACGACTTACACACAAACAGAATTATTTGTTTTCTATATGCCACTCTGCCTTACACACTGTAAATATATGACAATTCTGTTCCAGCTACCCTGTCCGCTTCTGGGGCCGGCTGCTGTCTCGCCCAAACATAGTGTTTGACATCGACACCCCGGAGTATTTGCAACCCTCGCTGGACATCGTGGCCAGCACCTTCATTGATAGCTTCACACCCCCTCAAATGCTCTCGAAGGTGAAGGACTCAACACCCTCAATATAACACTGACGTTTCTGAATTAAATGTAAAACCGCTAAAAACTATAATCTCTCATCACCGTCCCCAAAATCTTCTTATTTATTATTACATGATAAATAAGGGTACGGTTCCGCATTTTTACAATAATTGGCCGAAGTTGCTCTTATTTATGACTGACGGCTAGGACCGCAGTTCGTGAAATTCAAAATACGAAAGGTTGTGGGGTTTTGAATACGGCGTGGTTAAGAAGTGGAAACAGAAACTGAAAATAAAATTACGCCCAATCAAGCCCTATGTTAAATATGACGAGAAACATTGTCGTGGGCTAGATGTACAAGTAATGCGCCAGCGTGGGGCCTGGGATCAGTTACGTCCACTGGCTGTGTGTTTTAGTGACAGAGACGCAGATATAGCTAATCATATAGATGAGAATAGACACCAATAGTTTTGGCGTTATAAACTGAACTGCATTTAGATGTAGATATATTTAACTTTGAAGTCATACTTTGTGATGAATTACTTGTAAAATCGTTAAAAGGTTCGATATTTCACATATAATATATAGCAGTGATGAATCTAGTCGTGCACCTTGACTTCGGAATATTTTCATTTAATCAAAACCAACAAGCATTGGAAAACAAATTAGAAGACGGAAATGTGTTGTGTAATAAAAAAAAATCATGGACTTCAGAATGAGAAAAATATCAGAATGGAGAATGATATTGTTGAATAAAAGATTCCATTGATTGCCCATGGTGAATCCTCCTGCCCCGATCTGTATGTGTGATACTGTATTTCCCGATTATTATGGTTATAACACTACCAGTTTGGGTTTCCATAGAGACCTATAATAATAATAATAATAATAATAATAATAATAATAATAATATTCACAGTAACAGTAATACATTTTTGTATAATCCGTTTGTTTATTTCTTGCAGAATTCATCCCCTCACAAACTGCTGTTCTTCAAAGACCTTGACGACTACCGGGCGGTGGTCAAATCCTTCCACCGTGGGGTCAGTTCGGCCCCTGCTGTGGACGAAAGGGACATGGCTAAAGAGATGCACAAACTCACCTATGTAAGACACATGAGACACGAGTCGGTTCTGGGAAGCCATGGCCCAATGGTTCAGCAGGCATAATGTTCAATGCTCAGCTTTGTGGGAAGAACATTAGTATATCGGACTAAATTCCAACAATTTCCAACGAAAGCAATTTCAAAATATACAAAACCCCAATATTGTTAAGAATTTTATGGATATTTTTGACACAACTGATATGCGCATCTCTACACCCTTATGCACAGCATAACATTTGATACTAACCACCATAAGAGGCTGATATGACGCGGTAAGCTTGATGTCGGGATATCAGTAAAAATACAACGAAAACGAACCCCTACTACAAAAACATATATTACGAAAAATACAATGTCGATAACTCATGTTATGAAACAAAGAAGTGTTTTCTTGTGATTATGCATAACAATAATTATAATAGTATTAGTGTACATGATACAGGTTTTAAATATATATCACTGTAATCATTTTTTTCTTGATATGAATAAACCTTATATTTTGACGCTAAGGTACATGACAATAATATTGCTCCGTAAACATGATGCCGCTGTAGAATTCCAACAATTGCCTCGAACAACATATTGAAGAACGCATTCCGGGATATAATTCTATCAAAGCTATCGCCGTTTCAGTTATGTTTCTGAACGAGCCAAGCTGATATATACATTTCATTTACCTTGTACACGTCAGATAGTTTTTGGCATTTAAGTTGTATTATCATTATTTATAATTAACCCTTGCTTGCATATATTCAGAAACTGATACCAGTATTCACAACTCCTAATGATATTTTACTCTTTCAATCTAAGGTGACTCCCATATGCTATAATACAATGATTTGTTGTCAACAAATTAGATTGGATCTGTCGAAATAAAAGTAAACGTAACTTAATGTATTTTAATATCATTAGATTTCAACTGGCATAACAAAATGTGGGTGCGTCTCTAGAGCGGGAGGGTTGTGGGTGTGTGAGGTTAATGCTACATTAGATTAATAATGATGTACAATAAAAAAAGAAAGATTTACAGCGACTTTACTATCGTCTTCATTAGAGAATAGTTGTAAGTGGTTGCTGTGGTCTAGGCTGTACTAAATATTTACACAAAAATGTTGCTTTTGTAGCTGTGTTTATTTTAAAAATCTATTGAATAATCGTAGATAGGTAACTGGAAATAAACGTATATTAGTTTGAGTATATATTTATCTATGGCTTTGAGGCCTTTGGAACGACCGGGTTCTACACAGTCTCCCTTTCAGAGTCACATTGTAAAGAGGTGCACTATCTGGTGTTGTTTGGTGCCCAGCTCCATGTCGCTTCTCTGAATATTTCATAAGCACGTCTGAAACTTTACCACAGGCGTTGATATGGCCATGCATAGAGTTACTTGATCAGCCCCGTGTGACGCACCATTTAATTTACGTTGTCGGATGATTTCTACCAGTCATATTATAAAGACATTTGGTTAAGATATAGTCGTATTTTTGTGTTTTTTAATATATCGATGCAGTGAAATTTATATTTATCAGTCTTACAACATTTTGTCAAATTTGAATCGGACTTTTCTTTCATAGTGATATATGATCAGTTAATTATGTGTCATTTTCAATACAAATCACCACTTGTTTATGACTCAATACTTTGGAAACATACACATATCTAAGCGATAAATAGTCAGTTGTCGCACAGCACGTCGGCGCTATAACGAGGCTGGTGTCACAGTAGAGTATTCGAATGACTTTGTACCACATTTGAATTTTAAGCTACATTATGGTTTTGGTTTAAAGTTGTTTTTCAGTTCTTATGGTAAGATTGAGACACGACGTACGTCACCAGTTCGGGGTAAAATCTAACTGCCTCGAACGTTAGTTAAACACAGTAAGAAAACCTACCCCATCAAGCGTTCGGAAATACTACGCACGTTTAATTAATGACGCAATGCTAACTGATAAAGAAATGATGTAATAAATTTAGTTTAACCATGACAGAAAGAAATTGATATTGATGCTTTTAGATACCATGAGACAGCGTGGAGTTTATATTCTCTCTGGGTAGTCGTGCTGACCATGTCAAGCCTGGTCGTCTTTGTAATTGTGGTCTTTATTGTACGCCTCCTCACATCAGCAAAAAAGATATATTTGAGAAATGATGGACTTCTATAAGCATCTACTCAATAATAGTATATAATTATACTAATACTGACACTAATACTGATAATAAGCAAAATAATATTTATTGTAAAAACACTATTTTTATAAATAACAATCATAATTATTATAAAAAACATATGGAAATAAAGATTTTAAATTCTATTTGAAAACAGAATTATCTTGAAATATATCTTTCAGATGCAGAGCTTCAACCTGAACAAAATAGCCGTGTTCTATGAGCTGTTTCTTGTTATTGCCAAATTCAAAGATGAGGTGGGTTCATTTTATTTTTATAACTGATGGAGGCCGATGGGAAAATATTTGTTTCAATATGTCATAGATTCATTCATTTATTTATATCTTTTTTTCATTCGAGCCTTGGTATTTTTTTATGACTGAGAATAGATAACTACTATAACGATAGATAGATAACAATAATCTGTTCGCAAAGATTTCCGTCCCAGTGTCTCCCGTGCTTATCAAACTGTTGAGTTATTATTTATTCATGGTAAATTATATTTCAGGTTTTATCGGATTTGGAAGAAAATAAGGACACTAGCAGATTGAAACTGAGCGAGAAGCTCGAGCACGTCCTGGAGCTCATGGAGAGTTGATCTTCACGGACATTTCCTAACGACAAAGGCCAGGAGGCTGTTCCAATTTCCGTACTGATGTAGATGTGTGCCATCGCGCTATCACACCAGTTCGGCCTTACCGCGGAAGATGTACCTAGAAGAGCCTGTCACATAACATTATGACTTGTTATTATTGCTGACACTTTATATTTTACAATGCTGTTGCTGTATGTTGTTGCCATGGTAACATCATTGTTATGCTTCCATATGTAATTTACTCACAGTGCTTATTTTAAACAGTGTTATATGAGTGTGTATAGATTTAACACGGTAGAGAAAAGAAGTTGAAATAACATGAGACGAGACAAGTGGCAATTGTCTTGCTATAGAAAGTCCGTCTTGTAAACATGTATACATGAACGCTCCGACACGATCGTGTTATTAAATAACACACTGTTAATACAAAAACGTCAACGCCAGCGACTAACCATGCAGTCTCGACACACGCCGAAACAGATTCCATTGGGCGTACAAAATAAAATAGCGTTGAAAATTATATGAAACAACTCGCCGACATGATAGTGTACACACTACCCGTGAAGATCAGGGATAGAATAGGTCTTCAGCAACCCATGCTAGCCGTAAAGGGCGACTTGTAAGAGGTGACTAACGGGATCGGGTGGCCAGGCTCGCTGACTTGGTTGATGTATGTCATCGTATCCCAATTAATTGGATAAATGCTCTAATGTCAATGATTGGGCTGTCTGGTCCAGACACGATTATATACAGACCGCCGTCATATAACTGGATTATTGCTGATTGCGGCGTTAAATAATATAAACAAACAAACAAACAAACAATCATAATAACACGCCGATAAACCAGACGAGACTATTTGCCTTGAACACTTAAACACTCAACTAGTACTACAAAATGACGTATAGAAGTATATCTTGTAAAGATTTTTCATGTTATATTTCCATGTTATTTCAAAATTAAAATGATTGTTGTAAAATGATATTATTTGTAGATGTGAATCAGCTTGACGCATCGTGAATGCTACATCGCATTTGGACTGAAATGACATTGATGTACATGGACCACATGTGATTCACTGCAAATTGTTTACAGTTTGTATTCTGATATGGACGTAGTTTGTCATAACGTGCGTCGAACCTTCAGATCTGATAGTTCTATATATAAATGATGCGAATATGAAGCGTATTATTCAAGTAACTGTCAAATGTTTCCAACCGCTCCATGACTCCATACAGTCTCCAAGGTTGATTCACTCCTGCTATTTTATTTCGTTGTTGATTTATAACTTCATACCCCTGCCTATCTCTATCATGTAAACAACGAAACATATTCCAGGGACTCGAGGTCCATATACATATTCTATATTGTATATCATGTTTCATCGCAAATTTCTTCCTTATATTTTATTTATCGCACAACCAAATATATATGTACTTTAATTAAAGTATACACCAATATTATCGTGTTGTGTTGACGTTTAATCCACTGTGTGTGCCGAGTGCCTGGATGTATGTGCGTGCGCATGTGTATGTCTGTTTAAGGAACAGTTACTGTGAGTTGTGGCCTGTATTCCACGCCTCTTTGGGAGTGGAACACATTATTTAAACTAAAGCTTATCTCTGTTTCCAGAGTTACAAATGTCCATGCACTTTGAGGTATGATAAAAGTTGCACATTCATGCCTTGTGTTCAACCCACGTATCCTCCTTTGTGTTTGTGTATATTGGTGGGACAGGGCCTATGTGTGCATCCTCCACGACATCCTCCCGGCCCCTGCTTCCGGATCGTGAGGAAGACAATCGACTTGCGTCAGCTGGTAATTCAGGGATGTGCATCCGCTCGCAATGTCACGTATTCAAAACTTACAACCGATGAACTGGTGTGTGTGTGTGGGTTGGGGGTTGGGGGTGCTTCTCAGAGCAATAAATTGCGACCACGTTTCAGAGAAAAAGTATATTGCATATGTCTTGAAGCTCTGACTGAAAAATATATGCATTGTGGGATGATTCACTGCCACGGAACGTCACAATTTCAGTTCTACATAACGTCTCATCGATTTCTAGATCTCAATTGTCTTTGTTCTGTGTTTCTGGTCGGCTCGACAGTGTTTCACATGGTGTGTGTTTCATATGTCCTTTTGCCCGTGTCACTACGAGAGTTCATGTGAAATGTACGAGATTTTAAAAGTAGAACTTCATGAAACATGCATGTTTAACGATAAGACATAAAGGTCATGTTCGGACCTGTTGAAAACAGAAATAGTCAAACCCCGGATTGTCCTGTGATGTATCGGCATGTATTGAACCTATTATTGATATATAGAAGTGCGGGACATTTAGCCACTGGTCTCTGTTGATATATAGAAGTGCGGGACATTTAGCCACTGGTCTCTATTGATATATAGAAGTGCGGGACATTTAGCCACTGGTCTCTATTGATATATAGAAGTGCGGGACATTTAGCCACTGGTCTCTGTTGATATATAGAAGTGCGGGACATTTAGCCACTGGTCTCTATTGATATATAGAAGTGCGGGACATTTAGCCACTGGTCTCTATTGATATATAGAAGTGCGGGACATTTAGCCACTGGTCTCTATTGATATATAGAAGTTCGGGACATTTAGCCACTGGTCTCTATTGATATATAGAAGTTCGGGACATTTAGCCACTGGTCTCTATTGATATATAGAAGTTCGGGACATTTAGCCACTGGTCTCTATTGATATATAGAAGTTCGGGACATTTAGCCACTGGTCTCTATTGTATATATAGAAGTTCGGGACATTTAGCCACTGGTCTCTATTGATATATAGAAGTTCGGGACATTTAGCCACTGGTCTCTATTGATATATAGAAGTTTGGGACATTTAGCCACTGGTCTCTATTGATATATAGAAGTGCGGGACATTTAGCCACTGGTCTCTATTGATATATAGAAGTTCGGGACATTTAGCCACTGGTCTCTATTGTATATGTTGGTCTACAATAGAAATATATTGATGCTGATTCGTAAATATTGCAAAATTGTTTTCATCAACCCATGTTTTGCTTGACGTAAGAGGCGACTAACAGGATCGGGTGGTCAGGTTCGCTGACTTGGTTGATGCATGTCATCGTATCCCAATTGCGAAGATCGATGTTCATGATGTCAATCCCTGGATTGTCTGGCCCAGACTCTATTACTTACAGATCGCCGTCATGTAGCTGGATTATTTCTGAGTGCGGCGTTAAACAACAAACAAAACTTGTACTTATTGTGACAGTGTTGTATTGTTAACACTGGTACGTCTTTAGATATTTTCTACTTTCGTCATCTGAGTGAGTTAGTGAGGGAGAAGAGTTTCATGCCGTTCTGAGAGTTATCAAACAATAACACGACCGGAAACACGTTTGACACATTGTACCAATGTATAAACCTGAATATGCGTCAAGACGAGAGAACGATTAATGATTTCAGGTACCCACCATCCCTTCGTGCAACCTTTATCAGCCTATATTTATTCAATACAAGCTGAAACAAATGTTCCCTCGTGTAATCACCTGGTCATTTAATTATTTACGATGCATTAACATTATTAAAGGTTAGTAAGACACACCGCTACCCTCCTCCACACACACACATATACACCCTCACTCTACGCCACACACACACAAACACACACACACACACACAAATCCACCCTCCTCCATACACACATACACACCCCCAATCTCCCCCACACCCACACACACGCAGACACATTCGCCTCCACTCTCCTTCACGCACACACATACACCGCCACAATCCTCCAAACACACACACATGTACACCGCCACACACGCACACACACAAACACACACACGCGCGAGCACACATACACTCCCACACATTAAGCTGAATCGCCGTGATGAGTGAATTTGCTGTTCAAAGCGGATTCTGTTATTGGCGAAACACGGTTTTAAGATAATGAAGTTCGGACGTATCAACATTCTTTCTACCACTTACTATTTGGATTTAAAGACGTATACTGTGTGTAACCCCTAATCCCAAATAAATATCATGTAACGCACTTACAGTAATACATGTGTCCACACTGACATGGAAGCTAACGAGGTCACGTCAATCACATCACACAAACATTCCCTTCTATGAATTTCCTTTCCAAGCTCCCGGAACTGATGGCGTGAATAGTGAGGGACTGTCGCCATCTTTACACCCAGTCAACACTGTACGCCTCTCTATTTCGACTTTAGCTCCACGTTAGGCTAAACGTCCACAGATATACAGCATGGCAGCGGCCAGCATTGATGGCACGGCATCCATGTGCCCGCCAATATCAGGTCTGTTACCGTAAATCCGTTTTCAAATCTATAAATATATTTGTTTAAATATTTTTGATAACAGATGTTCAGTTGCTTCCGCGACGCCTTGGACACCTCAGACACCATGGATACCATGAACACCTGAGTATTGTGACGCAAGCGTATCGTGCATCCTAATGAAAGTTTTCATACTTTTGACTTTAGCTAAATGAAACATTATCACAATTTTATGAAGTAATAATAATAATAATAATAATAATAATAAGACAACTTTATGACGGCGGTCTGTTAATAATCGAGTCTGGACCAGACAATTCAGTGACTGATATTATGAGCATCGATCTTCGCATCTGGGATACGATGACATGCATCAACCATGTCTGCGAGCCTAACCATCCGATCCCGTTCCTCGCCTCTTACGACAAGCATGAGTTGCTGAAGACTTTTTCTAACCCGGGTCTTCACGGGTTGATCAGGTTCGGTAACTTGGTTCATTGTTCTCCGTCGTCGTTGATTAATATCAGTCAATGGATTGTCTGGCCCAGACACCATTATTTACAGTAATACATCTGGAATATTGTTGAGCGTGGTGCTAAACAACAAACAAACAGTCATGCTCGAATCTCTGCCAAACAAACATTCTCATTTACGAACAAAGAAGCGGGAGGCGAGGAATACACTAACAACTGCATCAATTTGTCACTAGGATCCATCACACCACTGTTACAATGTAAACAATACTGTTTATGCGTTGCAGACTGCAGTCCTCATATTGGCCTATGTAAATGTTGTGGTTTTGTCCGTCAGACCACTCACCTGACCACATCAAGCAGTGCAGACCACCAAGTTGACTCCCAGCCGAACACATGCAGCGGTAGAATGTGACACACTATAACATATGACAAAACGTATATTAAATTGATGAATTATCAATTCATGTCTTCTGATATGTATTTTAACAAATGATAATCCATGTGACAAATATGTGACTGTGAAATGTATTTGTTATTTATTCTTCAAACCGAGGTTGCAAAAACTACCATTAACATGTTAGGCTTGATGATTCGTAAGAAAAAAATATAATATAAAATTTTAAAATATCGTAACCAATAAACGACAAAGTATTTTTGCAGTATGATTCATCATCCGCTGGTCGTGTGTTCAATTTTGAACACCCTTCTCATGAAGGCTGTTTTCACGGAGGCTTTGTTTGTTTGTGTCTTTGTTGTTTGTTGTTTAACGCCTCACTCAGCAATATTCCAGCTGTATGACGGCGGACTGAAAAATAATCGAGCCAGGACCAGACAATCCACTGATTACTATCATGAGCATCGATCTACGCAATTGGGATACGGGTCATACCAAATGACGTTAAACGATGGTACTTGTTGTTACCCTGACTGACGCTCGCCATTAAGGTGCTAAAACATGGAGTGGTCGGCCTGGAGTATACTGTGGGGTATCCATGTTAGATTGCGGCATTGTATCTCATTAGGCTAGCACTATCAAATAGGCATTAGTCCTTACTAGTACACACACACACACGCACGCACACGCACACACACGCACACGCACTCGCTATGTATGTTTATTTGTTTCTCATTTTCGACTCATTCGAAATGAATCAAAACGAGCGTTTTCATATCTTCCGAATTCGACTTTTTAATGATAAATCACCCCGCCCTAGAAATAATGTGGAACATCATAAAGAAGTTTGACAAGCAAGGCCACTCAACCTGATCTTTGTTCTCCACGTTTCCCCATTTCAAACTTCGGATATGGCAACCATTGCACTTGTTTTAGTTTAACCTCAATATTACTATTAAATATATTCACATATTTTTTTAAAGTAATAAACGACGAGTGGGAGTTGTTTATCGTACAATAACTGACTGACTGACTGAGTATGGTTTTACGCCGCTTTTAGCAATATCGTACAATAAAGCACTGGAAGGAGAATAAACCATGAGAGTCGCAGTCCCTCAATGTTTATTCTCCCTGCAGTGTTTTATGTGTACGATAAACAGCTCCCACTCGTCGTTTATTATCTAAATATCTTACCCGACAACCCGTACATTTTCTTCTGCCCGCCTGCCGCCCCTGAAACTGAAGTCGGTGATGAGAGAGTGAATGAGTATGGTTTTACGCCGCTTTTAGCATTCTTTCAGCAATATCACTGCGTGACGAGCAAACGCATTAACCACAAGGCTGCCCTTGTAGGAAGATCAGGAATCGGAAAAAAAAAAACAATGGGTTGAAGCTATAAGCCTTGATGGAAATACTGCATCTTTCCGCTGATATATAACTAACACAATGTTAACCGGACCATATATATTGGGGTCAGTTAGTTTATTGATAACCTCAAATGTCGATATCTAAAGCCATTGGCACATTTATATATTACTGGGATGTTTGAATTCTTCAGAAATTGAATGTGTACATGTTCTCTGTGTAACACAGATCGATACACAGGAGAAATTGAATGTGTATATGTTCTCTGTGTCACGAAGATCGACACACAGGACAAATTAAATGTGTATATGTTCTCAGTGTCACACAGATCGATACACAGGATACATTAAATGTGTATATGTTCTGTGTGTAACACAGATCGATACACAGTAGACATTGGATGTGTGTATGTTCTCTGTGTCACATAGATCGATACACAGAAGAAATTAAATTTGTATATGTTCTCTGTGTGACACAGATCGATACGCAGGAGAAATTATATGTGGATATGTTCTCTGTGTCACACAGATCGATACACAGGAAAAATTAAGCGTGTATATGTTCTCAGTGTCCTACAGATCGATACACAGGGGAAATTAAATGTGTATATGTTCTCTGTGTAACACAGATCCATACACAGGAGAAATTGAATGTGTATATGTTCTCTGTGTCACACATATCGATACACAGGACAAATTAAATGTGTATATGTTCTCAGTGTCACACAGATCGATACACAGGAGAAATTAAATGTGTGTATGTTCTATGTGGCACAGATCGATACACAGTAGACATTGAATGTGTGTATGTTCTGTGTGTCACACAGATCGATACACAGGAGAAATTGAATGTGTATATGTTCTCAGTGTCACACATATCGATACACAGGAGAAATTGAATGTGTATATGTTCTCAGTGTCATGAAGATTGATACACAGGAGAAATAAATTGTGTATATGTTCTCTGTGTCACACAGATCGATACACAGTAGACATTAAATGTGTGTATGTTCTCTGTGTCACACCGATGGATGCACAGGAGAAATTGGATGTACATATATTCTATGTGTCACACAGATCGATACACAGTAGAAATTGAATGTGTGTATGTTCTCTGTGTCACACAGATCGATACACAGTAGGAATTGAATGTGTGTATGTTCTCTGTGTCACACAGATCGATTCACAGGAGAAATTGAATGTGTATATGTTCTCTGTGTCACACAGATCGATGCACAGGAGAAATTGAATGTGTATATGTTCTCTGTGTCACACAGATCGATGCACAGGAGAAATTGAATTTGTGGATGTTCTCTGTGTGACACAGATCGATACACAGGAGAAATTGAATGTGGATATGTTCTCTGTGTCACGAAGATCGATACACAGGACAAATTAAATGTGTATATGTTCTCTGTGTAACACAGATCGATACACAGGAGAAATTGAATGTGTATATGTTCTCTGTGTCACGAAGATCGATACACAGGACAAATTAAATGTGTATATGTTCTCTGTGTAACACAGATCGATACAGAGGAGAAATTAAATGTGTATATGGTCTCTGTGTGACACAGATCGATACACAGTAGACATTGAATGTGTGTATGTTCTCTGTGTCACACAGATCGTTGCACAGGAGAAATTGAATGTGTATATGTTCTCAGTGTCACACAGATCGATACACTGTAGACATTGAATGTGTGTATGTTCTCTGTGTCACACAGATCGATGCACAGGAGAAATTGGATGTACATATGTTTTCTGTGTCACACAGATCGATGCACAGGAGAAAATGAATGTGTATATGTTCTCAGTGTCATGAAGATCGATACACAGGAGAAATGAAATGTGTATATGTTCTCTGTGTCACACAGATCGATACACAGTAGACATTAAATGTGTGTATGTTCTCTGTGTAACACAGATCGATACAGAGGAGAAATTAAATGTGTATATGGTCTCTGTGTGACACAGATCGATACACAGTAGACATTGAATGTGTGTATGTTCTCTGTGTCACACAGATCGATGCACAGGAGAAATTGAATGTGTATATGTTCTCAGTGTCACACAGATCGATACACTGTAGACATTGAATGTGTGTATGTTCTCTGTGTCACACAGATCGATGCACAGGAGAAATTGGATGTACATATGTTTTCTGTGTCACACAGATCGATGCACAGGAGAAATTGAATGTGTATATGTTCTCTGTGTCACACAGATCGATACACAGGAGACATTGAATGTGTGTATGTTCCCTGTGTCACACAGATCGATACACAGTAGGAATTGAATGTGTGTATGTTCCCTGTGTCACACAGATTGACACACAGTAGGAATTGAATGTGTGTATGTCCTCTGTGTCACACAGATTGATACACAGTAGGAATTGAATGTGTGTATGTTCCCTGTGTCACACAGATTGATACACAGTAGAAATTGAATGTGTATTAGTGTTTTTGTGCCGAAATATTAGGGGTCACGGGTGGCACAGTCGTCTAAGGCGACGCAATTTGATGTTGTTAGTTGCGTCCCTTGGGCACACCAGAAACCTATAATTGCGGGATCGAATCCCAAATCGCCCTGGTAATGTTTTCAGGTTCGTCAGCACCATACCCGTGCTCGTGGGTTTCACCAAAGTGAAAGTCTTCGGACTTTCCTCCCACATGAAGCTGACACTCTGTGATTTAACTGGAATGTTATTCAAAGCGGCATAAAACCCAACTCACTCATTAATATTGTGTCTTGGTACAATCTGAAGTGAGCGACCTCATGCGTCACAATAGCAACTAAGTGAACTCCTGTCCATGCCATACAAGCACGAATGACAGGAAGTGGGCGGAAATGACGTCATTAGAAGTGTGTCACTATCAAACTCGCTTGCAACAGTTCCCCTGAACTTGTTATTTTATGCAGTAGTTGCGAGAAAGCATTCGGGCAATGTCTCACGACGATTTTGCTGACGAATGTGAAGTACAAGTGCACGAATGTAAGTATTCTTATTCAGTAGTGTTTATATTTGTTCACATTTCAACTTGATACAAGAGCCGATTTAAGAGAGTGACTTGGTGTGATCATGATTAAGGCTTAAGAACACGTACAACTTTCAGGGTAACAACTCCTGGTTTATTGCACATAGCGACGTTTCGATGTAGATTCTAACACCGTTACCAAACTTGAGAATCGACATCGAAACGTCGCTATATGCAATGAACCAGTTGTTATCCATAAAGTTGTACGTTTTCTTACTTACTCACCAACTTCTAGAATGCCAGTGATGATGGCGTTCCATAATCAGAACACAATTGCTTTTTTAATAGCTTCTAAAGTTCAAGCTATCATTAAAGTAACTGCTATATGCTGCTTGAGTTTAAACAGGTAGATTACACAGAGCTACGCCCATCACAACTGGTGGTTATTATTTGCATGACTCGGTTATATCAATGAGATTAAACGACCGTGGGTTATTCCAGATCGTGGGTTCTCACGGCTAACTACAATACATGGATAAACACATCAGTGTCCGTGATTTGATAACATGTTGGTAGTATCTGTACTACTGTTATATGATATCTAGTACTACATACTGATATATGATAGAACTGTGTCTTTGTTGGAGAAAATGTTCAACTGATTGTTTAAAAAGAATCAAACGCGAGATCCCGCGAGATATACATGTGTTGCACATATCAAGGATACCTCCACTGTAAGTTTTTTGTTGACTGCGGCATTCACCCATCACCTATAATGACATGTACTATGACACGGCAACAATAACACGAGTCTGGTTGCAGCAGCGAGGGCAGTAAGTCGCCAACACTCGTGAGGGGACAAGAATTTGCCAGTGATGCATCAGGCCAGTTTAAAAATATATCTCGTTTACTGGATTCTTGCTTCGGAAGGTTACGAGGGCCTTGGTAAGGACGGGAGGCCTGACGTGCTCCAATCCATTAACTTGAAACACTTTTATTCCTATGCTGAATCCCGAAAGTGTTTCATAACTATTAATATATGATGATTACTCTTCTTCATTCTTTACCCCGTGGGAACTCCGGGTTAGAATAGGTCACCACCAACCTATACTGGTCGTCAGAGGCGACCAAATGGTTCGGGTGGTCAGGCTCGGTGACTTGGTTTATAGTGTCCTCTCATCGTATCCCGACGACACGTATCGTTGCTCACAATATCGATCACTAGATTGGCTGGTTCAGACACGATTATTTACATGCCGCGGCCACATAGGTGACCTATTGCTGAGTGTGGCGGTAAACAACAAACAAACACACATATCGTAGTTTTGTTTTCACAGCGACACTTCCTGCAGTCTATTCAAAGGCGAAGAGTAGTCGTAAACAGATGATGTAATTAACAATGAATGACGTCAGTTTAGTAGTTATCACCACCGCCTCCGTGGTCTAGTGGTAAAGCGTCCGCCCGGAGAGCGGAAGGTCCGGGGTTCGATTTCAAAAGACGTTGAAAGACGGAACCTGTTCTTACCGTGTCTGGCGCTCGGCATTCAGGGGCTAAAACAAGGACTGGTCGGGTCGGTGTCAGTATGCTGTGTCTGAGTGGGGTATTCATGTTTAACTGCGGCATGGTATCCCCAGTAGGCTAGCACTATGAATCGGCATCAGTACAAGCAGCCACTCACGCACAAACACACGTGCATGCACGTCGCTTTATAAGTGCAATAATCTTGATCGCGACGTTAAACCCCATTTCACCTCGCCTTTTAGCATGTATATAGCGTATATGCAGCAAATTGCTGGACCCCAAAAAACAGTTCGTTATATCCGTCAGTTCAGTATTAGCGTGTTCGTTATAAAAGTAGTTTATTGTACTCGACGACCCGCCAGGGCCTAATCACTGATAACTGGAATTTGAGTCTGTTTCAGCTAAACACGCTAAATACATCCGGGCCCACTTGAAGGAGTTGAGGGCTCAGTGTAATGGCTTCAACCATTGTCTGAACGAGCTCTACTCCCAGGAGAATACCCTACTCATCCTACAAGGCAAAGATATAGAACTGACACACATCTGCAGGTAGGTGGATACAAGGTCCTTGTCAAACACACAATACATCACAAGGTATTCATTTATTATGTGATTACTACCCGTGAAGAAAAGGTCTTCAGGAACCCATGCTTGCCGTAAAAGGCGACTGTGTAAGAGGCGACTAACGGGATCGGGTGGTCAGGCTCGCTGACTTGTCATTCTATCCAAACCGCGTCGATGACATCAATCCCTGGACTGTCTGGTCCAGACTTGACTATTTACAGAAAACCGACAAATAGCTTAAATATTGCTCAGTGCGGCGTTAAACAACGAACAAACACATAGTATGTGATTACGACGATTAAGGGAAGGATATCAACTGGACCTACACGATACACCTTTAACAACTCTTCATAAACAAATGTCATCTCTTTAATTGTGCAAGTATTTAAACATTTTTTAATATAAATAACCGATCCCTTGTTTTTGCTCGCACCCTGGGTCTGTGGGGTAGCCTAGTGGTTAAAGTGTCTGCTCGTCACGACGAAGGCGAGGGATCGATTCCCCACATGGGTACAAAATTTGAATCCATATTTGATGTCCTCCGGCGTAATACTATACACATTCATTATATCTCCTCAGTCTGGTTCAGCCCCATGCCGACGATGAGGTGAGTTTCTCCTGCAGTGGCGCTGAGAGGTCCATGATAAGACAAGATCTGGCGACACACTTGAGTGAACTGCTCAGCGACGAGGAGGACAACCACGTGGGAGATGACCACAATCACGCCCAGCAAATTGGTCAGGAAGCTGTCAGCGAGGGTGGTCAATCCAGGCGAAGGAGAGACGAAGGTCACGGACACGTGGAGAACAAACAGAGTCAGTCACGGGCCAAGCTGGACCCAGCTGACCATCACAAAAAAGAATGGGCTCAGTTGAGGAAGTGTATTGATGATAAATATCCCGACGAGAAATCTGTGGATGCTGTGTGTATGTGAGTGTGCGATATTACTTGTATCACGCTGATAAAACCGTACCTCTCTCTCTCTCTCTCTCTCTCTCTCTCTCTCTCTCTCTCTCTCTCTCTCTCTCTCTCTCTCTCTCTCCTGGTACTGCTCCAGGTGGTAGGCTCCTCCTTCTGCGCATGCCTGTAGAGTTCATCAAAGCCACAGTCTATTTTGCAGCTACTCTTGCATATAGTGAGTGGTCAAAATCATATAACAGTTAACAATAGTCATCGAGTCACAACTTATCTGCCCCAAGTGTACTGCAAGCCTTTGGTGAGGGACTTACATTCATTCGCGAATGACAGATAATCCGTTATTCCTAGTTTCAAGAAAGTTTTTTAATGTTACTCGTTATAGTGTAAGAAAGAAAATAATAAACGTCGACCCTGCAAAAAATGTCACTGAAGTCAAACTGGTGTTTCAGGCTACAAAACTACAACAGAACGATACACGTGTGTGGCAGCAAGGCGATGCATCACACCGTGGAGAGTTTCTTCAACAAGCAGCTTCAGCATCTGCAATGCACATGTGATTCACTTCCAGCTGGTAAGACAAGAATTAAACAGTAAAAGAATGCACTCTTACACAATTATTGAAGAACATATTGGTTTTTTTCCGTAATTGTGCTTTTTAGCGTCGTTTGGCAACCGGGGTGTAATTGGTCCTCAGAAATCCAACGCTTCAGCAACCCATCCTTATCGTAAGAGGCGACTAACGGGATTGCGTGGTCAGGCTCGCGTAAATCGATGCTCATGATATCAATCACTGGATTGTCTGGTCCAGATTCGATTATTTACAGACCGCCGTCGTATATATGGAATATTGCTGCGTGCGGCGGTAAATACCAAACAAACCAATCTAAACCAAACTTCAGCTTCTAGTAACAGGAGGCTAAATTGACTGAGTGGTCTGGCTCGGTGACTTAGTAGATTGTCACCAGCGTACATCGACCGCGTGTGTACCTGTGATATAGTTTGAATATTGCTGACGTCAGTATTTAACAGCAAACAAACAAACATTGTCAATTTAAATACAGTGATTACGCCCTATCATTTATCCTCCTCAACGTTGGGCAATGTTCAGACTGTTCGCGGTGAGAGACCCAACGAATGTGCTTCGCGCATTGTACCTATATTGGAAATAGAACACGGGTCGGTAGCTGGATGAGCTTCAACCGTCACCCTGCCCTCAATGACATAAGGGAGCTGAGAGATACGCTGAAGATATGAAAGACGTGGTAGTGTCTTCCGTTCAAGGGACCGTCTGTTGTAGTGTGACTAGTTGAGTGTGGAATGAAGGATTTCCTTACTTAGGTCGGCCGCGTGCCCGGACACGTCTGAATAATGACGTGGTTACTGGGCACGTTTCTGATATTGTGTTGTTATGAGTGAGTGAGTGATTGAATATGGTTTTACGTCGCATTTAGCAATATTCCAGCAATATCACGGCGGGGGACACCAGAAATGAGCTTCACACATAATACACATGTGGGAATCGAACCCGGGTCTTCGGCGTGACGAGCGAACGCTTTAACCACTAGCCTTGCTGGTTGTTTTCGGAAGATAATACAATATCGTGTTTATTGCGTTATAATCTAATATTAATTGATACCGATGACACAACAAATATATTTAATTCGATTATCAGAACATTAGCATGCGCGTCCAATGTATATCGTTACCACCCACTTTATAACAGAACTCCGATAGATTAGTTTTCATGCAAATGATAGAACGCTCCTTCTCAGTTTTGTTTAGGATGATAAAACCCTCAAGTAGCAGGATTCTTCTGATTGTTTTTATTGTCCTTACCTGCTCCTTGTTACCCGAGTGTTTTACAGTCTCAACCAAAACCCAGTAGTAGTGTTTTAGCTAGCTTTCGATACCGACACAGAACGATCAAATACTATTATGTCAGAATAAAATGAGAGAATATGTCTCATATATCGAGTAACAACATATACTTGCGTGATTCGTTCTCCACCACCCCACACACGTCCGGCACAGAAGTGGACCCGACCAGCCCCAATTTCGCACGTGCTTTCTCTTGACAACTTGCGCGTATCTATTTCTTTCAATATTATTGTTTAATGATTTCACATTTCAGTTTAACACCAATATTTTAGTACTTATTAATTTCTAACGATTCCAAAGAATCACTTTCAAGGCCTCAGTGGCCGACTTGGAAGGGAACTTGAAATCAATAACGAAATGCCATGTGATGTATGAGTTCCAATCCAAGACTCGGGGACTATTTGAAGAAAACGTAATTCAACTATAACAGGTTACCATGTTACATGGTTTGTCTTCACCTACAGACAAGAAACAGGTTATCCATGTAATGTTTGTTAATCCATGTATCTAGTTCAGCGGTTATCAGGTTAGTTAACGTTTGTCGGAGGATTCTAAGTTGTGATGACATATGATTTTCTCTTTAATTAAGATTACATTTGCAATCTTTTTCCAGCGCGATCTCCCCTCTACCTCATCATAGGGGGCGCTGTGGGCGGGTTTGTTCTCATCAGCCTCATCATCCTCCTTCTGTGTCTCGTAGTCCGCCAGAAGAAGAAAAACAAAAGAAAGAAAAAACATGGGTAACTACACTTTATCATTTTTAATACAGTTCCAAAAGACATTGTGCGATAAAGTTAGATACCACTGAACTTTGATGAACTAGAAATGCAGGCACTTGTACAACTCTATACAGGCTGCCTGTACTGAACGCTTTGTCATGATATAAATTCGATGTCGGATGATATTCTAAGTTCAGAGAGGGGTGAGGATAATCTACAAGTCTTTCCTCAAAAAAAGAAACTTTTCAGTGATTTAAAATTCAAGTAGATTAATAATTACTAACTTTAATTTTCTACATCTTTGATTCAAATACCAGCTGTGTGAAAAATTAGTCAACTTGACCGGCTCATTTTCCAACTTAAATATCTTGGGCGTTTAGGGACATGTATCCAGACTTAACGTATTAATTTGGTTAGCCTTTATAGAACTTGGGAAACGCTCCCCAAGTTGTTGATCGCTTGAGCATCAGCCCAATCGGGGTACGGCGACACGCGCATTGCAATACCCACGTATTCCATTCGCAAGACGACTGTAACACAATGGTTGCCATTGGCCATGTTTAACAATGGGAATTTCGACAGCCGTCTTCCTGAGATTGGGACCGCCTCCGTGGTCTAGAGATAGAGCACGGAGAGAAGGTCCGGGGTTCGATCCCCGATCATACAAAAAGACATCAAAAACTGTTGCTTGTTGTTACCCCGCCTGGTGCACGGCATTAAAGGCTAAAACAAGGACTGGTCGGTTTGGAATCAGATGACTGTGTCTGAGTGGGGTATTCATGTTAAACTGCGGCATGGTATCTCAGTGAGCTGACACTATACGAGGGTTCGTCAACAAGTTCTAAGCCTGACTAACTTTCAACCGTTTGCCATAACAAAGTGAACTAGTCAATGAAGTACATTGTTTGAGTAGTTCATTCCGTTGAGCCCATATATATATATTAGTGACAGCCAGCTGACCGTGATAGGGGCCCGAACGGACACAGAAATGGAAAAGAACGAGTAACGGGCAGTCTGCTTTCGTAAGAGACAACTAACGCGATTGGGTGGTCATCGATCCCAGTTGCGTTGATCGATGTTCATGATGTCAATCACTGGATTGTCTGGTCCCGCAGAAATTCATGACCATATGTCACAACTATATGGGGATATGTGCCCTAGCTGTTCCACTGTTAAACATTGGGCAGCTATGTTTATAGCTGAGGGAACAAGCCTTGATGATGATCCTAGGGCTGGACGTCTCTCAGCTTCCATCAATAAAGATTCAATCAAGGAGACAGAAAAAAACCTTATACTGTCAGATAGACGAATTACCATTTCTGAACTTGAGAAAGGCACTGGTATTAGCCATGGATCCATTGAAACTATTCATCATAAACATTTACAGATGAATAAGATATCTAAATTCTAAATTCTGATCTTAAGGGAAAAGAGCCGACATTGCCAGAGAAAATGTAGAGCTATATTGTGGAGGATTTCGTCAAATTCAAAAATAGATTAGTAACGGGTGATGGAACATGAGACGACAACTATGATCCCGAGTCAAAACTTCAATCCATGGAATGGTACTATTCCAATTCTCCGGCACCAAAGAAATTCAAGACTTCAAGATCAGCGAAGAAAGTTATGGCCATTTTATTTGAGATGCAAAGGTTGTGATCCTTGTTTGAATACTTAAAAGTCAAAAGACGATTACCGGCACCTACTATGTTTAGCGATTCTAACAAAGAAAAGTGGCGAGGAATGCTGACTACTGGAGTGCTACTACTTCATGACAATGCCTCTTATCACACCTCTCGATTTGCAAAGGCTGCTGTGCGGCAATGTGAGTTCAGATAGCTTCCTCACCCTCCATACTCTCCAGACCTGGCACCAAGTGATTTCCATTTGTTTCCTAAACTGAAAGAACACCTTCTTGGAAAGCGCGATACTGTTCAAACAATGGCCTCAAAGCTGTCGTTAATGGGTCTTTCAGGGTGGCTTCAGAAAACTTCTTCCTGGCTGGAATTGAAAAGCTTCAATATCGATATGAAAAGTGTATTTAAAAGCAGGGAGATTATGTTGAAAAATAAATTAAAATTTATTTTTTTGACCAGTCCTCGTACGTTCCATATAAAGCTGACACAGCGTCACACAACTGACAAACTGTTCAAAGCGGCGTAAAGCCAAAGTCACTCACTCACTCTTTATTCTTCCTCCCAGGGACGCCAAGTGGCAGGTGAGCTACGCTGCTGGAGATGCGGAGGACGCAAGCGCATATTCAGAGATTTCTGACGTTACACTTGTAAGTGTTTATATCATTGACCGTCGCCGTACATCTAGTTGAAATAAGTCAACCGTTTCCTCTATATTCATTCATGTTAAAAAGGAACGTATCAATTATTTTACAATCACATTACGTCAACTACCTTTTCGAGTTTATGATTGTTCTTTGAAATAAATGTTAATGCAGCCCCTGACACAAAGCAATATATCCAACATCAGTGAATATCAGCTTCTAGAATATCTAAAAAAGAATTACAGTCACAGTATAATCTGTCAGTCTGTGTCAGACTAAATATACAAGGACAGTTTAAACTTTATTCTTATGTTCTATATCGACATCGAGTAAGTTTTGTTTAACTCTGCGCTGAATATAAAATATGAATGCACGAGGATATAACCATCTCGACCATCTGCCGAAACAGATTCCATTTGGCGCAAAGAGCAAGGGCGGGTAATTTGAGATCGCGAGAACCACGCGAATGGATCCAGGGGTTGGTGCGGGTTTACCCACATGCGAGCCCTGGTTTACCGCCACGTCAGCTTAACTTAGGTTGGACAGTGTTGCAGGTAGTAGAAGGTTACCTCGCTGAACGCAGGTTATAGATGAAGTTAGATTCAAAATTCATGCCAGTGACGACCCATGTTATGCATGCCTTGTTTTTGTTTGCAGCCTCTAAGTAAATACCGCGCAGAAGCCTTGAAGCAAAAACAGCGAGAAGGATCCCCCGGACCAAGCCTCCCTGGCCGATATATCAAAGTACCTCCACCTGGCACCGCCAAGGACCTCACCGGCAGCATCGAGTACCTGGAACCATGGGATTCCCCTCGCTTCTCCCTCGCCGAGGTAGACTACGATGACCGTCACCAAGTAGGAGGGGACGTTGATGTCCACGCTGACGCAGCAGACCGAGGTTCCTACTTCATCCCACTCGGCAGCAAGCCAGATACTGGTGAAGATTGTGGCTATGAAACGCTGACCAAAAACAAGAAAGCTAAAACCAAAATGTCAAAAAAGGAGGAACATTCACAAGAAATAGACCCTGAAAATGTTCCTGATTATTTTATTCTTGAAGAAAATAAATGAAACTCCCGAGTTAACACATACAAATGGACATTAACCAATTAAGCACCACCAACTTTTTCGGACATGTGCAGGTCAGGTGTGAATTATTCTTTGAAACACGACAAAAACGTAGACAATTGACACTGACCTGACACCACTATCACACAAATAACGACGCTGACACGAGCAATCGGAAAATATCGAAAAGACAGACAGTTAATTGTTTAACATGGAATCTTTTACGTAAAGGTTATGTTTATTTAGTAAACGTTCAAGGCTTTTCCTGCTCCTGCGGTTAAGAATCGCAAAGTCTATTACGAATTAATAATTTCTTAAATAATTCTGGATAAAGGCAATTATATTTTGCCGGTATATCATTTACAAACTTTGTGATAGTTCAGACATTCTAACAAAAAATAATCATAATTCAAATATTATTCATATCGGAAACTGTCGTATTTGTCAAACAAACAACTAACTTACACAGTCACCGATGGGAGGAATTGGCCAATCGGCGTAGATGGCCAGTATAGACAATTTAGAATGAAACAAGTCTGTCCTAAGATTATATCAATTTCAAATATAGACAAAAAAGACAAAAAAACAATTAAGATAATCATGCAAGGTCACTAAAAGCCGAAGCCATTGTACATTTTCAAAGGACATGGACCTTTTTTCCATTTAAATATTACCTGAGATGTTACTGGTGTGAATAAATATCTCGATAAAACATTCAAGAACAACTTTCTATGCATGTGTATCTACATATATAAAGTCCATATTTGCTTACTTGCTTGTTGTGTATGTAATAAATAAGAAACAAAGTAAAGTATTTTCATGTCCTAAATACTCGTCTGTATAAGTGAAACAGCTGATGACCTCCGTGAAGGAGGTATAGTACTTTGCATATGATGAAGACGATTTTTTACATAATGGTTACTTTGTTTTGTTTTGCAACGAAGGAAAGTGTAGGTATTGCTTATGCCAGTTGACATGTTATATGTATGTGTGAATGTATAACATATATGTATATAGTATGTATCATATCGATATAAAGTGTTATAACTTATACTTGATGTATTTGTTTATTTATGGCCAGAAAATCCCGTGTACAATAAACTCTTTGTACTTGACTAATTATGCAAAAGTCTATGTGTTCTTTTAACCGTGAAGATTCCGGGTTTGAATAGGTCTTCAACAACCTATGCTTGCGGCAAGGAGCGACTAGGTTGATACGTGTCAATAAAAATAATTATAAATATTATATATCAAACTGAAAAAGAGGAAATAGAATGGAATGAACCAATTCTGTCTCCGCCAGCTGCCATCCAAAGTCTGGCTGACCCAACATGAAATGTTTGTAGTTGTTCCCCCTGACAAGGCCTCAGCTAATATAACCCTCATACGTAAGCATCACTACATTCATTCTCTGATCAAAGAACATGGTATTAGTGACATATCAAATAATGGCAAATATAAGGACAATATGTCAACTGAGGATGAAATCGCCCCTCACCATGCATCACTACTATCAACTTTTGACTTGACGTGTCCATTGATTCCAAAGCACCATATATTTCTAGGTCCACCACACGTACCACTAAATCCCTGTAACAAGGATTAACCATAACCATTTATGCAATGAAGAAATGGAATTCTTTATATTCAAAGAAAGTATTAGAGGCGAGTGGAATTAATACTATGGGGAGTCACAAAAACTTTAAGGATTTGCTTGAATTTTTACAATCTTGTTAAAGGAACAAGTTCAGTTCTGTCAAAACATTTGATTTTTCAACTTTGTACACCACTATCCCACATGACAAACTAAAGGAAAAATTCATTCCTTGATCCATGGGACTTTTATTACGAAACGTGGTGAACACAGATACAGTTATATATCTATCTTCAGAGGTTCAGGCCATTTTGTCAAAAGGAAGCAACTGCCTGAACTATAAATCTGTTTCATATAGATCTGTGCATGAAGATTCAGAGTGACAAGACACCCTCCACAAGACTGTATGACAAAAGGAAAGACTTCAACTCTCCAGTAGTCAACTTTCCCTTTATGTCAGGCAATATTCTTGCAGCTCCAGCCCTTGGTGTCTACATTTCACACCTTTTGAGGTACAATCGTCGAGGATTTCAAAGAGCGTCATACGACTCTAGCTCAGTACTAGATCAAGGTTACAGCATTCAAGGCCCAAGCAAAGCTTTCAAAATATTTTGTGGTGGACATGTGGAGCATGTTTTCAAATTTGACGCATCAGTGACAATAATGATGTACGATGATATTTCCTAATTTGACTTGTACCCTATGTTCCCGTATTTGTTTCAGGCGAACAATTGACTTGTTTGTGCATGTGTTTGTGATGGTTGCAACCGGTGGGGCAGGATACGCTCACCTTTTTGCGAATACCTGGTAGCATCACTATTTGATAGTGATTCATAAACACACGCTCAAGTAGTCGGAGTCGTACAATTGGATCTGCTTTTGGCAGAGATTTCCTATGAATATTGAAAGTGTTTTGTCGTTTTTATTTATATGCAGTATATATCACAATTTCATATACATGCCGTGATCTTGCAAACATTTTCTTAAACATTAAACATAGTTGGTACCTATGCATTAAATTCCATATTAATAATAGATTATCCATAAATTAAATACGTATTTGTATATCTACAAAACAACTGCTGCTTAGCCACTGTAAATAACAGACGACAAATATAGCCTCCTTGACGTTGAGACACCTGCTAGGGACGACATCAATACATATGGCCGTCAGGTATAGTGGACGGCTGTTCTTACCCCCATGTTGACGACATATGAATGCTCCTTACATTGCCATACAGTATCTAGTACACCAACATTTATAGTATTCAACGACGTTATCGACAAAATCAACATAGTACACATATTCGTAGTATCATAAAATTAAATACGCTTCGTGTGGGGTACACACATCGTTTGAATTCAAATTGAAACGCACTATGTTTTGCATGTTGCTACGAAGACAGTGTACACACAGATATCACACATTAAACGTCAGATGTCAAATTAAGGTCGTTCGGAACTCAAAGCAAATATGGCTAGAGTATATTGTACGCAGTATTCATGATTATTAATCATTCACAACCTCTGAAACATTGAAATATTGTACCCATATTTCCTGTCCCAAACACGTTGTATCCAACATCCACAAATATCGTCTTACGTAAACCATAACTACAATCACGTTAGTGCGTAATTAGTCACGTGATATCGCATGTTTGTGAGCTGCTTAAATACGGTGTAAGCTATATGAACCTTCACTTGCAACGAAGCCGGGTAACTTGAACAAGGTAAGAGATGTTGTTGCTTTAAAAATGATTGATAGATTCACCATCTGACCATAATGACATGATTACTGGTGTTGAAAGAGGTGCGGTTTAACGTTCAAGATTAATTCACTTATAAAGCGACGTGCATGCACATGTGTGTGTGTGTGCGCGCGCGTGTGTGTGTGTGTGTGTGCGTGCGTGCGTGCGTGCGTGCGTGCGTGCGTGTGTGTGTGTGTGTTTTGTGCGTGTGTGTGTGTGGCTGCTTGTATCAATCTGGACGTACGCCGCTTTTATAGTTCTAGCCAACTGTAATACATACAATGCCGCAGTTAACTTGGATACCCCACTCAGACGTAATGTACTGACTTTGAGCCGACCAGTGCATGTTTAGCCCATTTAAGTGGAGTGCAAGGCAGGGTTATACCAACGCCTTTTGGTATGACGCGACACAGGAACCACCGACCTTCCTCTCTCGGGGAAGTCGCATTATACTCTACACCAAAATCTCTATTCTATTGCATTATATTATAATGAGACTGTACGTGGGGTTTTATTGACTTATCGCCACACACAGCAATGTTCGAGCTGGATGATCGCGGCCTTTAAGTAATCGAGCCTGGACCTGACAAACTAGTGATTGAGCACCGTCCCATCATGACACGCAAAGATCAAACATGACCACCCGATTAAATAGGAAGCCTCTTTCAACCTGCAAAGGTTGTGGGGACCTGCAAAGGTTGTCGGGATATACCAGCATAGGTTACTGGAGACGCATTCTAACGCGGACTCCACACGGGACAGACCAGCATGGAGTACCGGGGACGTATTCTAACTCGTACCTCCCATGGGGTGGACTAGCATAGGTTACTGGAGACGCATTCAAACACCGATCCACACGGGACAGACCAGCATGGGGTACCGGAGACATATTCTAACTCGTAGCTCCCAAGGAGTGGACCAGCTTTGGTTACTGGAGACGCATTCTAACACGGACTCCACACGGGACAGACCAGCATGGGGTACTGGGGACGTATTCTAACACGTAATTCCCATGGGGAAATTTCAGTTCATCAGTCTGTGACTATGATTGACGCAAACACCGTTGTTTGAAGATGACATCTAATGAGGTAAACATGGAGTAAACACTTTTGTTAATAGGACTTGGGATGGAGGCGTCAGGTTGATCTGTCATGTCACTTCAACTTTTAAAACCTTAAGTTTATACCCTTTGATATTTACAATATTGAAAGCATATAGACATAAACAACCAAATAAGTGTCTGTTTTAAGTAAATGTTACAAAGTATCACACAACCACATCATGTATCGTGCTTGTGTAGTCACGTGTTCCAAAATAATGGTAAACCTAAGATGAAAATGAGATCAAGTATGCGTCCATTTATCTAAGGGGGATCTTGAAGAACTAGTGTGGGTAAAGTCAGATGTAGATCGTTTTCTGACAGAAATGTTTTGTTCATTTATTTCAGATAATAAGCATCAAAGTCCCCGCTGCTGACGTCAAAAGCAGTAATGAAGAGTGTCATTCTAGGTGAATATACCAACAGATAACGATGATTTACACATCATGAAATGGGGTTTGACGTCGCCTCCAAGATTATTAGACTTACGTGTGTGTGTGTGTGTGTGTGTGTTTTGTGCGTGTGTGTGTGTCTGCTTGTACCAGTCAAGACTAATGCCGAGTTTATAGTGCATTGAGATACCACTCCGCAGTTTAACATGAATACCCCAATCAGACACAGCATACTGACTCCGAGCCGACTCCTTGTTTTAGCCCATAATGCCGAGCGTCGGGCAGGGTACCATCTTTTAACATCTTTTGGTATGACGCGATCAGGGATCGAACCCCGGACCTTCCTCTCTCCGGGCGGAAGCCCTACCACTAGACCATGGAGGCAGTCCAACCACAGTTGAAGATAGTATTCTCCATAGGACGTTTTTCAAACACTGAAACGTTCATCTTTGATTTGTTTTTAAATATTGCAGTTTGGTAATGTTGCCTAATAAAATCCATTATGGCGATACATTGACATCATTCACCTTTTCATTCACATTTATTGAGAAAGGAGTGTCTAACGTTATCATATTATTAAATGTGTGTTGACATGTGGAGTTCAAAAGAAAGGGTTATATCAGGATCGTTAAAACACCTTTTATTTAGACCATGGTTTTGATAACTTTTTTATATTCTGACTTTATATTTTCTTATGTTAATACTTTAATCTATGACACAACTAATTACAGCGTTTCTTAACGTTATCTCTGTTGACCCAGTGCTTGGCCTGGCGACTCTGTTGTTCATCGGCAGCGTCAACAGCCTATACGACAGCAGGGGAGATGAAGATGAAACCGATGGTGAAGATGGTAGGAGCGAGTTTCAGGGAGGTATGGGCGGAAGAATGGGAGATACTGAAGGTTTTGGTGGGAGTCACGGACGCTTGAACAACATGGTTGGCCATAGACATGAGGGTATGGGCGGTAGAATGGGAGATACTGAAGGTTTTGGTGGGGGTCACGGACGCTTTAGCAACATGGTTGGCCATAGACATGAGGGTATGGGAGGTGTTGGCGGAAGAATGGGAGATACTGAAGGTTTTGGTGGGAGTCACGGCCGCTTTAGCAACATGGTTGGCCATAGACATGAGGGTATGGGAGGTATGGGCGGTAGTATGGGAGGTAGGGGTGGGGGTAGAGGAGGTAGTGGTGGGCGTAGACGAGGCAGGGGTGGGGTTAAAGGAAGCAGGGGTGGGGGTAGAGAAGGCAGCAGTGGGGGTAAAGGAGGTAGAGGCTCGCGTAGGGGTAGAGGGGGTAAGGGTGGGGGGAGAAGAGGTAAGGGTGGAAGTAGAGGAGACAGAAAACAACAGCGACAGGATGCCATTAAACAGAAACAAGAGCAAAACAAAATCGCTAACATGGTGAAGGGGATGACCAACTTCACTACCGGAAACTATCAACGTAAGTAAAGCTAACGACACTATTGTTTGTAAACTCTTAGGAAAGGAGGTGTTCTTATCAGCGAAAGTATGTATCCAGATAGTCTCTGCACATTCGTTCCAAGAACTAAAGCTAGGTTTTTACGATGTTCAAGTGTAGTATATATGCAGCCAGCCCTACTACCATCCGCCTTGATACGATTCCAAATACAATATTTTGTTGTGGCCTGTTGATGAATCGATATATTTTAAACTTACTGTATTGACACACCATAAATCTATCAGAATTACCTCATAATTGTAGGTGTCGCGAGCCTAGTATGGTTTGACAAAAAGTGTTTCTACCTGTGGAACCTGGTTACACGTATGCCCTTTACCCGAAGTGCTTGTATATGTATGTCAATATGTATCTTGTTTGTGCCAAAACAGTTTTTGTATTCTTGTACATATTTCCTTATTTCAATATTTGCAGACGACAGCAAAATGATGGCAGTATACCTGCGGGCCTCTGACAAAGGTTAGCTTCTTCCTACATTAGAAACCATATTTTTTCGGAGGTCTTTGATATTCGGATGAGTATTGCGGGGTTCAACTGTACTAGCGATTCCCATGGCGTTTTCACAAACTTATCAATTACATGTGCCTCCATTTATGTGACCTTTACAAACATTGTAATAGCACGTGTTTCTATTGAAGTGCGTCTTTACAAACAGTATAGTTTCATCTCAGTATAGTTTCAAATTATGCCACCTGCCATGACTGACTTAACATTTCTTAAGATACTTCCCAGTCCTTAGATCCTCAACCATGCGTCGCTATTTCGTTATTCATTCCAAACTTGCTACAAATGCAGCCACTGAGACCCCATGTAAAGAAGGAAAGTTTTTGACAATAAAGTTAGATATTAGTGTGTATGATAATCACTGTTATGAATAAAGAGACCAATTGTTTCCTGCCAGATATAAACAAGTCGTACATGCTCAATTCGAAGCTTCACTTCTAATTACAGTGGGGCTTGTTTCATTTGTAAACGCAATATAAGAACATAATATCTAATTTGACATTTCCCTCATATTTCATAAAACCGTTCAACAGGAAAAGTTCATTTTTCATCCAACCAAACCAAAATAGGATACTTTTTTGTCGACCACATCCAAAGAAAGAAATCCGTCAACCAAATATATAATTTATAAAAACGTGTTAATTCATCATAAACTACAAAGTCACCTGCATGATTTCATTAAAATCCTTTTCGCCTTATATATATCTCAAAGGAATGGGTGCGCTCGCTGTCACGGACGAAATAAAATGGTCGAGTCCATTAGTAGAAGGGGACAAAACATTGACTGTAGCTCGATACACTTCATGATGTTACAATTATTCTAACACATTTTATCGTTGTTTCTCGGCATAGCCGCTAGATAAGACTCCATTGAAAACTCTCGAAAGAGAATCTACCCTGTTGCGTGGAATTGGTTTCGTCGATTGCATGCGTTGTTGACACCAATGTTTGTTTTGCAGTTGTAGTTTGTATTTGTGTGATCGTGATTTGCCCTAAAGCGTTGCAGTGTTCCCACAGGATCTGGTCATTTGTAGTCGTTTCACCTCACCTTGTCTTGTCACCTTACCAGACATTAACTGTCAGTAATAACTTACACATGTTACACTGAAGATCGGTAAAGATATACATATTTCATCTTTCACAGTGATTAGCCTCCTGGAGAAGCGACAAGAAATCCTCATGAACAAATGTACGTACGGGTATTCAGCCCCATTCATGACAAATACATTGTCATGTCAATCTGTGACCACTGTTGAACTTTTAAAAATAATGCTTTTCCAATACAGAGATATTTTCAGTCATAGCGTTCGTGGTGTTTAGTGGGAAAAGGTGATCGTTTGTAATCTATACTTTTTTTACGTAAATTAATACATGCGCCTTTAAATGTATCTCCATAGTCTGTCTCACAGTCCCTTAACCATATTATTCTGACGTCCGTCCACCCTTTTCTGTAATACAAATTCCTAACCGCAGCAAGTCTAGATTTTCCGCAGGTTCAGGTCTGACTCCTTTACAATATAAGTGGAGTTATTTGTTTCTATCAAAATTTAGTATTTTCAGAGACGAAGTGTTAGTTAGTCTAGTATTTTCATTTCCGAGTAACTTTCGGTGATCATTTTCATGGTGTTTTGTGAAAAGAAGCGATCCTCAGTAATGATGTTATTTTTTCAATTTAGATAATTCGTTCTCTGTAACATGTCCACGTCAATTATCGTACTCGCAATCGATGTAGGGCTATATGTTGCACCCCTTTCTATTTACAGTGAAAATTGCCAATGTCAATGGAAAAAGTAAGTCTTCCGCGTTACACCATATCCTATTCCCAACAACAACAGTTTTATGTTAATATGCAACAACATATTGTAATTATTTTGAAGTTCTCATAACAGAATGCACTATATTAATTCTAATGCGTATTACTTAGATAGGTCTCTTGTTCAGAGAATAAGCTACCAGTCAAGATGAAATATTGATTACTTAGTCCCTAGTGAAGTAATTTAGCAATAACTGCTATATTGATCTTGAGCCTTGACGAGGAATTTTCAACATTACTATACGTGGGATAAATAATCCGTACATCAAAGTTGGTATATATAACCCACAGTCCCGTGTCATTGGTGGTAATGCCTCGGTATGACGCCACATTGCTAGGGCCACATAATGGCTCGCCCCGTAAACAATGGAACAATAAGCGTGAACTGGCCCATCAGCATGAAGCAAATATTGTAATGCTCACTTGTAAGATTTACTGAACTTAATTATACCGATCTCCGTCCACCTATGGGTAATATATAGATGTATTAAATAGACGGTATAAGGTTTTTATTCCATGTTTGAGTTTCGTTCATTTCAGTAAGGATGCAAGTTACAACGGGAGTATACAAACGCACCAAGAGAGGTAAAAACAAATGAGTTCTTTTATGTACCACTTATTTGAAATTGTAAATAGTTGTAATTAATTGCAACAGTATAAATTGAAAGTAGGTAATCCCGGGACCATACAGCAATTACATTTGAGTGATCAGTTGTTGGAAAGAAGTTGAGGAACGATTAAACCATCGTACACATTACAGACGAAGGTTTCTGCTCTGAAGACTGTTCGAGTGGAAGAGGTTCCTCTGTATAGAAGAAGAAGAAGTTAATATGAATGATGGCCGCATGGCCCAGAAATCATTTACAGGAATAATATATGCTATGCACACGCACATATTTTCTTACTACAGTCGTTCATAGTTTTTACATTTGTATTTACATAGGTAAATGTCTTTTTAAATATAAGGACAGGTTTCGAATAACACAATCATTTCTGGTAGATAGAAGACTGATAAATTTTGGGACACATGGTTTCTCTGTATTGTGTCTTTTGGAAATGTCTATAAACAAGTTATCGGCTGAAAAGCAAATGAATTCACTGTAATATATATATTATCTTACCTCTGTTTTGCAGTAACGGACAGATGGAACTCGAAGTGTCAAGACAAATTCATTGAATGTAGGTGTATTTGAAGATGATTATTCTTTGTTCTTTGTTATTACCATGGCAACTTCTTATGGCACCAATGTGAGTTTTCCTCTCTACTTTAGGTTACACATTCAAAAGCGACCTATGTATTATAAGACCTACAATTACTTGAAAGATTCAGGGATATATTTCGGGTATAGTTGCATGCTTGTCAAATTATTCCAATTTCTTTTTCCCAAATGAAACCTAATTCTTCTCTATCGAACAATTAGTTTAATATTCAATATAATTCGAACCATTGTTACGTAACACAATATCATATACGGGATCATGTACCCCATGCACGTTGAATTGTAACATTGGGATGTGTGCATCCCTTCCACACATACTTTGCGTACAGTGTGGAAAACTGAAGCAAGCGGAAATTGCAATAGAATATTCGCGATGACACAACCTTACAACAACCATATTTGTGTTCCAGGGGTGAATAAAGTCGGCGAGAATCCAACCGAAAAAGATCTGGAGAAAGGTGATAACTTTAACATATTCTATTCACATAACCAATTATTTGGGGACACGCGTGGATAAGTCATCTGCGGCAAGCCAGAAACGTATGATCATCGGTTCGAATCCAATATTCGCCGTGATTATTGTCCTTGGTTTATCATAACCATGCTTGTGCTCGTTAATTCAGCCAACAACACCTGCTTTCGCCCTAAAGATCCTTGAAGAAAATAACTCATGTATTGCTTCAGACGATCGAAAAAGAAAGAAATTGCCAGCCACAAAAAGAAATTGTTGCAAGGACAGGCTAATTATCTCGTTTTGCAGCTGAAGCTGAAAAAAATATGTATTCTCCCTTTCAGTAATTGATGTTGTTTATGCCACGGTGGGTAACAGTATACAGTCCTGACTTATACACTGTTTTACCACATACTAGTTTATGGACTGCATGTTTCAACTGATATGTTCTATAATTTAATTTTCAGCCAAGGCTAAAATAGACATGATCGCTGCGAACTACGTTGATGCAGGTAATGCAGATCAAAATGAACAGTCATTTAATTTCAGAATCATCCGTGTAATCAATATATCTATTGTATCATGCAAATTGAAACTTAAACTGCTTTTCGATCTAAAGTTCGATCTAAATAATATTATCACACCTATTTGGGGATGTAATCTTTCGTATCGTTTCAGTAAAGAAACTGTTTGATCATCTGAGTGCAACGTTGGATAAAAACGGTAGGTCTTTAGTCAAGAATAACATGTTATGGTAAAATAATATACAGACCCCTTTCCATAATCTTGCAGCACCATACTCATGCTCACACGCATCATCATAGTGGTAAACGTCTTCGAATTAAATTACATGAGGGTTTCGCCCACATTAAGTTGACGTGTCGCAACTGCAGTCCATACGCATTAGAAATCTCTGCTAAAAGCAGTCCAATGTACGATTCCGACTATGTCATAAGCATGCGTTTATAAATCACTATTAAATAATGATGATACCAGGTGTTAGCGAAAAAGTGAGCGTATCCTTCTTCAAACCTTATTAAAACCCTGATCAAACATACGTTTGAGGAAGAGTAATCATGCATTATCATAATAATGCGGCATCCTTCCCTCAGATCAAGGATATTACTTGGATGCAGTGAAACAAGAAAATGGCAATCCTAAAAGTAAGTAACAGGGTTTCATAATAAAGATTCTTGTAAGCTTTGATACTCTGATTGTAGTGTGTGAAAGTGGCGTGCACCATATGCAAGTAGCTATTATTATTTATTTTTCTGCGGATGATATAATGTATTTATATGACAGATAAGGCAAGATAATAATAACTGATCATGTGAACAAATATGGTCAATGTACAACACCGCACTGTTGTTACCACTATTACTGTTTTTGCTTTCTGTAGCATAATGTATTTATTCCGCAGAGATGATGGCGCTGATGAGGGATATCAAAAAGATTTCAGCAAATCGTACGTGTTCATGCACTATACATTTCCAATCGATTGAACATGTAATTTTTGGGGCTATGTGCATTTCAGTAACATCCAAATTTATCTTTCACACCAATCTACTGTATGAAGATATCAGACACAGGAAACTTAAAAACCGTTGAATTCTGTTTCAGTTGGCAGTGCAATTCAAGAGAAGAAAGCAGATATGGAACCGCGTAAGTGAAACATAGTCTGACTGAAATCAATATCCCCTCGTAAAACACACTCTAACACATAATTATACTGTGTTCATCATACCATTACTATTGTTGATGTTATTAAAACACCTATGTGTTTGATAATAATACAAATTTCAATGACGTAACATCACATGATTTGTTACCCTGTTGCCTTTTCGGGGCGGTCGGGTAGCCTAGTGGTTAAAGCGTTCGCTCGTCACGCCGAAGACCCGGGTTCGATTCCCGACATGGGTACAATGTGTGAAACCCATTTCTGGTGTCCCCCGCCGTGATATTGCTTGAATATTGCTAAAAGCGGCGTAAAACCATACTCACTCACTCACTCATCATTTCAGATCACGATAAAAAACATATGCCCTCAGCAGCGGAAGTACACCTTATGAAGAGACTTGGGTCTGTCCGTGTACATGGTACGTTACTATAAACGTTATATACCAATAGCAATGGTGGCACAAGAAAATGTAAAGATAAATGTCATGTTAGATTTGTACTGAACCTCACAAGTAAGTGCCTTTCTGGTGTTCCCCGCCGTGATATTGCGGCGTAAAACCATACTCGCTCACTCACAGACAACTAGTCATAGTAGATTTATACTGAATGTCTCAAATAAATGTTAAGGTAATTGTCACGGTAGATTTCTACTGAATGTCACAAATAAATGTTAAGGTAAATGTCATGGTAGATTTCTACTGAATGTCACAAGTAAATGTTAAGGTAAATGTCATGGTAGATTTATACTGAATGTCACAAGTAAATGTTAAGGTAAATGTCATGGTAGATTTATACTGAATGTCACAAGTAAATGTTAAGGTAAATGTCATGGTAGATTTATATTGAGTGTCACAAGTAAATGTTAAGGTAAATGTCATTGTAGATTTATATTGAGTGTCACAAGTAAATGTTAAGGTACATGTCATCGTAGATTTATACTGAATGTCACAAGTAAATGTTAAGGTAAATGTCATGGTAGATTTGTATTGAGTGTCACATGTAAATGTTAAGGTAAATGTCATGATAGATTTATACTAAACCTCACAAGTAAATGTTAAGGTAAATGTCATGGTAGATATATACTGAATGTCACAAGTTAATGTTAAGGTAAATGTCATGGTAGATTTATATTGAGTGTCACAAGTAAATGTTCAGGTACATGTCACGGTAGATTTATATTGAGTGTCACAAGTAAATGTTAAGGTAAATGTCATTGTAGATTTATATTGAGTGTCACAAGTAAATGTTAAGGTACATGTCATCGTAGATTTATATTGAGTGTCACATGTAAATGTTAAGGTAAATGTCATGATAGATTTATACTAAACCTCACAAGTAAATGTTAAGGTAAATGTCACGGTAGATTCATACTGTGCATCACATAGTTAACCTTTAGTTTAAGGTATGGAAAACGTCGTGCTAGTGTTAACTTAAAAAGCTTGTATCCTACTAGTTAACGGTGTTAAATGTTAAAGGTATTATGCATTTAGAAAATAGATTTCATGTATTGTTTGTTTACAGCATTGGATGCGTTTTCGGAGTTCCAGAAAGGAATCCTAGCAAAGTGTAAGTGTTAACGACACAGCCACCGGGGCCATTAGTGGCCCTAACTGTGCGTGGCGCCGAAATTCTGGGTGAAGGTTGCATCTCTAAGGCGTGCAGAAACCCTACGTTTCATCGCGTGTTGGCATCCCAGATTCGCCCAGATTATGTTTTAACATTATACCCGTGCTCGTAGGTTTCATCAAAGTGGGAACCTTCTTTAACCTGCATGACTTCTATCTTTAACGGCAGTGTGTCGTATTGCCTCTCATGGATATATGTTGTTAGTTTCGTAAATGACGTCAGCCAGACTTTGGCTTTGCTCGTAATATGATCATTGCTAAAAAACATAACAACATTCATACTTTTTTTCATCAGTAACAACACGGACCTATTCCACACATTTCTTTTTAAACTATTTCTTGATATATTTTACATTTCTTTGAATAGCATGAATTACTTGTTGTTGTAAAGAAACGTTATTTTTCGTCACCAGGCAGTCCAAAAGACCGCTCTAAACCTGTAGATATTGCGATCCTGAAGCATGGTAAGTATATTAAGCACTTGTAATTTGTGAATAAATGTTAAGATTGATACCATCTAAAAACAACGTGGTAAACACTTAAAACTAGGTATACATGTGACACCATGTACAAGACACGATAGCATTGTTACTTCTATCAACCATCAGGTCATATAATCACAGGTGACTTCTCTATTGTTGACAATAGCAGTTATTCAAATATGAACCAAAATACCGTGAGCAACCAATTGGATTTACAGCTTTAAAATCATTATGGATGCTGTTGAAGAATAGGCCTAAAATGGGCCAAAAGAGAAGAGGAACCTGTTGATTGTATTTCAGAGTGGGTTAAGCTACTGGTAGAATGCACAAACTTACAAAAAAAGAGGAAGCGGAATTGGAATAAACCCATTCTGTCCCAGCCAGCTGTCAGTCTGACTGCCCTACATGAAAAGTTTGTAGTTGTTCCCACTGACAACGTAACCATTATATGTAGGCATCACTACTTTAATTGTTTAATCAAAGGACTTGGTGTAACAAAAACATATCAAATAATGCCACATAAAACCATAAATCAATACTGTCAACTTTTAACTTGGGACTAAAACCTGAAAACAGGCCCATTCCTCTTTTTTACTGGATTCCAAAGCTCTGTAAAAATCAGTACGAAGAGAGAGATATTGCTGGGTCCAGCTAATGTACCTCCAAATCCCTGTCTCAAAGACTATGAGACAAGTGAAATTAATACCATGTGGATTCTCAAAAACTCCTAGGATTTGCTTGACTTTTTGCGATCTCAGAAACTTTGTACACCACTATCCCACACGACAAACTTAAGCAAAAACTTAATTCCTTGATCCATGGGGCTTTTGTTGGTGAACACAGAATCAGTAATCTATATTCAGGTTCAGGACAAGTTGTGAAAAATGAAAGCAAATGCTGTCTGAAGTTTACTGGGAAAACAATATGTGAAATGCAACAATATCCTCATTGATCTACGTAAAATGTGATGGTAAGACATTTAGGCAAGAAGCAGGCATCCCCATGGGCACCAACTGTGCTCCCCTTCTTGCGGATCTGTTTCTTTATGCATATGAATCGGAATTTCTGTTCGGATTGGCAAAGTCAAAACAAGGTAAATTACCCACCTAAACTAGAAATAAAGGAGGCCAATGAGACCGCCCCATCTGTTTCATATTAAGGTCTATGCATAAAGATTCAGAGTGACAAAACACTCTCCACAAGACTGTATGACGAGAGGAAAGACTTCAGCTTTCCAGTAGTCAACTTCAAATTTCACAATTTTTGAGATAAATCTAGCATGTTCTTTCTACCAAGATTTCAAAAGCACCTTACGACTCTTGCTCAGAAGTTTCTTTTATCAAGGTTGCAACATTTAAGGCCTCAGAAAAGCTTTCAAAAAGTTTTATGGGAGACATGTGGAGGACATTTCCAAATTTGACGCATCAGTGACAAAAATGATGTCTGACTCGTACCATATGTTCCCGTGCTTTACATGATAGTGATTCATAAACACTTGCTCATGAAATAGTCGGAATCGTACAATGCTTTATCCAGAGATTTCTATTGGATATGGAAAGGGTTTTGTCGCTTATTTACCTATTTAAAAAAAAGAAAAAAAGAAGCAAAACAGGTTTACTCTCTTACGAGTGCACACCACATTTTTTTTACTAAAAATGTACATTTTCAGGCTCATAATACTTGGTTGTTGTTTTACACCGCAGTCAGCAATAGTCCAGTTATATCGCGGTTGTCTGTAAGTACTCGAGTCAACACCAAGCAAACAATGCAATGGTTGATGGTAAATCGCCGGCTGTGTACGGTGACACGCTATGGGCAGGTCACCGAGCCTTTATAGCCTCATATAAGATAGCTACGCGATAAATCGCAAAGAACAGTGAAGAACAAAGGCGTGGTTTATTTCACAACAAAACATTATTCCTTCATAACGTCATGTCTGGAAATACAAGCATGCACTCGCAACTTGATGACGTCGTAAATTGGACGACATTTTTTTTGTGAGGGAGGTGTCTAGAGTGAATTGCTCCCCTTGGATGTAGCTGGACAACACAGATGAACGATCGTACCCAAGAATGGGAGAGATATGACAATCGTTATTGGGAGGAATTATTCAGATAATCGACGTGAAAATTGTGAGAATACCACACTTAACACCCCCACCCACCCACCCACCCACCCACCCCAACCCCCACTCCCCTACCTTAATGGAGTTGTCCGACATTGCCCATTGCCGAGGTCGGATTGTATTCAGGGAGTCAATATTATTTAAATTCGGGTAAATGTTTTAAACGCTTGTACAATTTTTTGAAATCCTTAAAAAGGTGGTGCAAAATGTTGACATCTCAATAAGATACCTCATATAAAAAATAAACGAGTGGGGGTTGTTTATCGTATAATAAGACAATGCGCCCCTCATGATTTATTCTCCCTCAGTGTTTTATTGTACGATAATCAACTCCCTCTCGGCGTTTATTTTTTAATTCGATAGGCATTAGAGTGCTATTTTTTCTGATGCGGGTCCCCATAGTATGTTCAGAACAGATAGCTACAACAGTAATGATAAACTGATGTTTCTCTTCAGGTTTGAAACTCCTAGAAGTTAAGAAAGACGAACTCCTGAAGAAAGGTGTGTAGGTTGATCAGTGTCATCGTGTTTTACAATCACCTACATGTATACACGATGTAATAAATATATTCAATGAAGTTGAATAAATAATTGTTTTAGTTATTTAAGGAATTATTTGAAATACAATGAATAATCGATTTAGTCTTTACTGAAAATGAAACCCACATGGAAAACCTTTGCGTTCTATAATAGAAATACAATATAACATGACATGATGGATAACGAAGTATGATAATATCATATGCTTTGTCCGTGCACAAAGTAAGGAATGCCGATTTCCCATTTCAGCCGTTCTTGAGATGGAAGATATTATTGAACAAGACAAAGGTATGTATCCGGTATTGATTGAGGCAATAAATAGACCATATACGATCAATAAATTCCCTAATAACTGACAACAAGAAGAATTCTTGCACTGAATGTTACCTTAAATGTCTGGAGACACAGCTTGTTTGTACATGTTCCTAATTTAGAACGACTACTGTACTGACGGAAATAGACTGACACGTTCTAAATTATTTTTGAATCGAAACGGCTGATCAATAGGTATATTCTGTCAGACAGATTATTAATGTCGTGCTAAGACCCAGGACAACAATCTATTTCAGAACATAATATGCTATATTATTGAATATGGTGTTAATTAGTACAGTTTGTGCGAAAATACACAAGTGGGAATATGTAAATTACAATAGTTACGACAGTAACAACTTTGATCGTTTTCTTGCAGTTGCCCCCGAACTGGTGCCCCGTAAGTATTATTGATATATAACAATAACAGTGCATTATATGTGATGCAACATAATTTTGAAACATAGAATAAATCTCGTAAAGGGTCTGTTACATGCTTAAAATTATTATTCATTCCAGTCAAAGAAAAGCTCTCGACAATAGCCCAGGACATCTTTAACCAAGGTGTGTTGACTTGAATATAACCTGCCATTATGGCAAAAGCAGTTGTGAGATATACTTCAAGCTGACAACACACGTCATCGAGGTGAAAAAAACACTTGAGGGTGACGTATGCGACAACAATTAAGCCTGCGAACCAGTGATTGACAACATGAGCAATCACCAATAATGTCCAGGCATGATGAAACAAAAACAATGGTCGTATTTCCATTAGATTTTAGAATATATTTTGAAATAGCAGAATTTATGATCGTTAAAATATCATGATAAATACTGTTTAGTCCAATGAATTGAAAATACTTGGAATAGTTGAATAATGTAAAGTTTTTGCCTTTATACTTTTGTGTTTAAACTGTGTTTATGGTGAGATGGCTAAAACGTTGTACGTTGTACGTCTTTGATTACACAGAGAAGACATCCAGAATGCCCGAGCTGACTGCCATCATGGTTGACTTGACACATCGTGTTGGTAGGTAGCCTACACACATGGATGCTCATAGTGTTACATAACCGCACAGACATGCTTAGAAAATGTAGGTATAAAGTGGACATTTTGTTTGGCACTAAAATAACTGTTCCAAGTTGCAAACTGTTTGGGGAGCATCATCGAATTCACTTACTTACTTTGTTCCCATCCCTCCTGCGATGTACCTGTCCGACCTGTCCGGTGGTCCTGCAAGCAGAGAGAGGGAGGGCCAGGGGGGTATTTAATCAAGCAACTCTCTGATACTTTAAATTGCAAAGAAACTACTGTTTCAGGTAAAAAGCCTGGTGCAAAAATCATCGAACGTATGCTTCGGAAAGAATCAATGAAAGGTAAACGACACATTTTAAAGTGTTCATTAAGCATACGCCTCCCTTAAATTGACTTACTTTTAATTAGCGAAATGAAAAGAATACAATTACAATACTCCATTCAAGTCATGATTTTCTTTGAACTGATGATTTCGATGTTTTTATCAATAACATGTTCATCTATCTATGCCTCCGCACAATTGTCGCAATCTACGTTAGTGACACAAGTGAACATTTTCCTTTAGAAATGGCTCTTATGCAGATTGCGATAGGAGATGCTGTTTTGAAAGGTAAATTTTATTTCACGGTGTTGCAGTTTTGTTCATATTACCTCTTATCATTATGTTTCTTGGCTTAATTTTACAAGCATACATAGTCTACTTATCTGGCGCACGGGTCACAAATCAAGGTGAAGTTCAACAACGTCGGCCGCGGAGAGTCCTTGGATGGGTGACCGCGTTTCGGCAGCTTGGCTCCTGAGAGTTTCTAGGGCTTCGGTCCTGCCCCGAACTGAAACACATGTAACACGTGTGGCGTTTCCTTGGGCTTTGTGCGAAATGTGCCTCTGTTCACCCAGCATTGCAAGGGTACCCGGTAGGATGAGAAGGCAATATGGTTGTTAACCTTCTAGCGCCTAAAAGGCAGCTTGGGTTGTATACTCCCCAGGGAGCTGAGAATGATTCTTGAGCGCAAAGTGATCCAGTGACTCGTGTAATAATAGCGCTTTGAGCATGCCTCTGAGTGGTGTGGATATATGCGCAATATAAATAGCCTATTATTATTAGTATTAGTAGTAGTAGTAGTAGTAGTAGTAGTAGTAGTATCATTATTATTATCAATATATGTGGAATGCTTAAGACCTAACTTACTCATCAGTATTATAGATATGTTTGAATTGCCGCCTCCGTGGTCTTGTGGTAGAGCGTCCGCCCGGAGAGCGGAAGGTCCGGGGTTCGATCCCCGGCCGCGTCATACCAAAAGACGTTAAAACATGGTACTTGTTGTTACCCTGTCTGGCGCTCGACATTAAGGGGCTAAAACAAGGACTGGTCGGCTCGGAGTCAGTATACTGTGTCTGAGTGGGGTATTCATGTTAAACTGCGGCATGGTATCTCAGTGAGCTAGCACTATAAATCGGCATCAGCCCGGACTAGTACAAGCAGCCACACACACACATACACATGCATGCACGTCGCTATATAAGTGCAATAATCTTGGACGTGACGTTAAACCCCATTTCACCTCACATATGTTTGAATTCATGTCAATACTCAAGATCAAATATAGTTTAATAAATATTCGGTCCCTTTGCTTGTGTTCCAGCTGTTGACCGTCTTGGCCATTCAGGTGGTTCCCTGGAGGAACAAGTGGAGAAAGGTAGAATTGTTTATGAGGCCAAAAACGTATTTTGTTGACGCTACGACTCGACGTTATTCTTCTATCGTATTTCTTTGTCCTATATCGTATTTGCATGGAGGAAAATCGTAGCTGTCTCCGGTAAATAAAATGATGTTTTCACAGTGATAATAAAAGTTAATCAAAGTTCAGTTTGGGGATGTCTAAACCGAACTCGACAAGCTCAAAACGCCTTCTAATATCCGAACACACAACCTGAACAGACGTTTTGGAGATAACGGCTTGGGGTTACCTGCCCTTGTTTACAAACAATGAAAATGAAAAAGCCATTTGTGGGATTGAAACTGACGCGGGCGGGGACCATCAACATAATACTTTGTGGGGCCTTACATGCATATATGTTTGTCTGCGGTGGAAGACAGGAACAGCCTCTTGATACAATTGCAGGTACAATATCGGCTTAAAACGTAAGCTTTGAATGAAAAGATGTTTTTTTCTCAGGATTACGATCATGAAAACAATGATAATAAATAAGTCCTTCTTGCTAACGATTGCCGGTACCCCTGTAGAAGAACAATTGCGACCTCAATGTGTCTCATCGTGTCAGTTAGGAACAATCAGTATATTACATAACCAGCATGTTTCAGCTGAGGATGATGCCACAATGTGATCTTGTACATACATTTATTGAAGTATTTACAATATATTTACCAAATGAAAAAAAAACATTATCAATTTTTAAATGTTGTGTCATTCATCTGTCTACATTTTGACCCTAATCTTCGATCCGTAGAAACAAATTAACATTAATGTGGGGAATCGAACCTAGGCCTGCAGCGTAACGAGCGAACGCTTTAACCACTAGGCTACCCCACCGCCACTATGCGTAGGGACTGATACCATACCAATTTGAATAGTATGCCTGTGTATCATCCATCGTGTAGGTATTGATTTCACCTGAAATGTTGTAACGTTTATCATATCAGCTAACTTCTATACCGATAAGGGCCTCATCGTCATCCCATGAATACATAGTATCTGTTATCATACAATATAACAAATGGAACATTTTCCTATTTTGAAAGGTTCCTCTTCACTGAAGTCTACGATTACGGAGGTAATGGACAAAAGTAGGTACAACTTACTCTGTATGCAGCATTTGTATCGTTTTTCCCGTGCAACCACCAAATGTTGACATGTAAAGATTTCGCCCCATATAATGGTATAATATTGGTTGGTATAATAAGAATTATTTTAAGCTGTCTCATGTTCAGAGGTGATGGCATTATTGTAACTGGGTACAGGGTAATATGTACCACGCTCACATTGTACCTGGGCACAGGGTAATATGTACCACGCTCACACTGTACCTGGGCACAGGGTAATATGTACCACGCTCACATTGTAGCTGGGCACAGGGTAATATGTACCACGCTCACATTGTACCTGGGCACAGGGTAATATGTACCACGCTCACATTGTACCTGGGCACAGGGTAATATGTACCACGCTCACATTGTACCTGGGCACAGGGTAATATGTGCCACGCTCACATTGTACCTGGGCACAGGGTAATATGTACCACGCTCACATTGTACCTGGGCACAAGGTAATATGTACCACGCTCACATTGTACCTGGGCACAAGGTAATATGTACCACGCTCACATTGTACCTGGGCACAGGGTAATATGTACCATGCTCACATTTTCACATAATCTGTCAACAGCTCGGGATAGCCTCAAAGAGTTCGTTGACCGCAATGTAAACGATCTGGAAACAGGTAACAAGGCTGACGACTTTCCCTCCGACAAGTGTTGTCTTTGCTTTGCATTATCTTTGTGCAAAAATATGACCGATAAACCTTATTATATTGTTAAAACACAACTGTAAAGTCAACGTATAATCAAACGATACTGATCGAGAAAAATCAAACGTCACATGAATTTAATATACTTCTGCCAGTGTCCTATAGTAGCTTGTCCTCGTTCATCGAGTATTTTATTAAAGGCAATGCGTACACATTTTGCACATGCCACTCTGCTGTTGGTATATTCCATGTCAGTGTCTCCTGAAGTTCATACTTTGCTATGACCATTTGCTTATTGTTGGTATATTCCATGAACTCTTAACCTTGTTCTAGGACAAGGAATATTCGGTCATATAAAGAAACTGGACACACGGACGAAGAATTAACACGAGGCGCTCACATCCAGCAGGTACGTAGTGTGGTGTGTACTCCGGAAGAATTAACACGAGGCGCTCACATCCAGCAGGTACGTAGTGTGGTGTGTACTCCGGAAGAATTAACACGAGGCGCTCACATCCAGCAGGTACGTATCGTGGTGTGTACTCCGGAAGAATTAACACGAGGCGCTCACATCCAGCAGGTACGTAGTGTGGTGTGTACTCCGGAAGAATTAACACGAGGCGCTCACATCCAGCAGGTACGTATCGTGGTGTGTACTCCGGAAGAATTAACACGAGGCGCTCACATCCAGCAGGTACGTATCGTGGTGTGTACTCCGGAAGAATTAACACGAGGCGCTCACACCCAGCAGGTACGTAGTGTGGTGTGTACTCCGGAAGAATTAACACGAGGCGCTCACATCCAGCAGGTACGTATCGTGGTGTGTACTCCGGAAGAATTAACACGAGGCGCTCACATCCAGCAGGTACGTATCGTGGTGTGTACTCCGGAAGAATTAACACGAGGCGCTCACACCCAGCAGGTACGTAGTGTGGTGTGTACTCCGGAAGAATTAACACGAGGCGCTCACATCCAGCAGGTACGTAGTGTGGTGTGTACTCCGGAAGAATTATTTTTTTCTATAATCAGTTTCCTCATTTTCTCATGTTTTGTAGTCAATAGTTTCGAGCAGTTGAGTATCAATACTGCTTAAAGTAATAGCAGATACTAGTTGAATATAAGCGATAACTTAATTGATGGAAAACATTAGCGAAATTGGCTTGTTCACGAACTGTACCGCTATGGGAAATGGAATCCCAGGCTTGATGCTCCTCATCTCTGAATGGAATTTGATCATTGTGTGATAATTGCAGATGACTGTTAAATGTATGGAATGCCAAACTATCATCTAATGTAAAAATTAAAAGGGATTATATTTGAATGGTACTGGGTTTTAACTGTGAATATTCCTTTACTTTGGTCAGCAATATATTACGGCAATATGACGGCAGTTTCTGGATGATGCTATATCTTATACGTGCACATATAACATGATTTCTTGATTCTCAGAATGAGCGAATGGACACACCTTTATTCGAAATGGCAAACACGTTTCTTCAGCGACATAAGCAGGATCTCCTAACAGCTTATCCCATAGTCTCAGAGGAAGGTTTTAGAGGAAGTGACGTCTTTCCTAACTTTACACGCTGTAGTTTTATGTTTGTCCATAAAATGTGATGCAACTCTATGAGGTTGTTATTTTCTTATTGGGCATGGGTTGTGGGTCAATTAATCAAGACTGATGGACATTTTGCTAAAAGTATGGTTGTGTCAAGTTAGTCATCATTAGCTAATTAAAGTCATCTTAATACTACTACAACGTTTTGCCCACCCTACAATGTATATTATCTGTGTGGCATCAATCACAGCAATAATGATGTTCAAATACTAGCAGGACATAAATGGTCCATCATCACCATACGAGTCCACTTGTGTTCATATATCAATATGTATATACAGTTAAGTCTCGTTAATCCGACAATCGGTTTAACCCGACACAAATGATTGGAACCGATTAAATCAATGCTATGTAGACCCGTTAATCCGACAGTCTCGCACTCCGACTCCGACACACCTAATCACTCATTAATGAGTCTCCTTAATCCGACACAATGATCAGCGTACTCCGTGGTCATCTGCCCGCGAGTACACAGCCCCGTGTTTTGATGCGAGACGAGTCGGCTGGAAGCTGCATATAACAACGGCCGCAGAGATAAACTTGCTAAACAATAAACAATTATTGCTGTAAATAATGAAAACAGGATTAATCACATACTTAGATTACCTCAATCTCATTAAAATCATATGCAAGTTCTCGCTATTGCCGAGGACATCCCATTACAGGACAGTTAAGAACAACCTTTCGTGAACTATGACCGACTAATGAAATGACTGACAGGAAGTAAACTTTCTTACACCTGAAAAATACCCGTTTAGCAACAACCATCAACTTCTAAGTATCTTTTGCAAATATTTACTGTTTGATAAATATTTAAGATACCACCGTTACCTGTTAAATAGGTCTGTAATGATGGGGCAAGGAGTGGCCCTGAAACCTTGTGTGTGTATAATATAGAAGTTGATATCCACAACAGGTCTTGAGTGAATGGGTGAGTATGGTTTTATGCCGCTGCTAGTAATATTCTAGCAATATTACGGCGTTGGACACCAGAAATGGGCTTCACACATGATGCCCACATGTGAAATGGAACACGGATCTTCGGTGTGACAAGCTAACGCTTTAACCACTAGACTAGTACTACTCCACAACCCCCTTGTCAAAAGAACACTGTATGTGTTGCAAGTACTGGATGAACTGTAATAAGCAGGGTAGTCATATAACTATTGTCATGGAACACTTATAAAACATGTAAATAGATAATGCGTCTATGTTACTGTATTTCAATATCAGAATGCCACCTAATTTATAAAACAAATGTAGTCCGTCAGAAAATTAATACAGGATTTATATGGAAAGATATCGTAGGCTGTCCTTATCTTTTTTCCAGTTGCATTCATGGGAGCAACTAAAACTGCATCACTACAAAACATTCATTTACAAGAGCACTATAATTTGAGTAAATTGAATGAAATGTCAAATAATGAGTGAAAGTTTTACAACCAAATCCCTGTCCAAAAGATTTATAAATTCATGGAAGACTATGACAGAAAGTAAGTGGACTTTGTGCCATGTGGATTCTCAATAACACATGAAAACAAATGTCTTTGAAGTTTACTGAGAAATCGATATGTGATATGCTGGCCTTCAGATACTATGTAGATACACTGTAGGACATTTATATCCGGCGTATCGATGATCTGATATCGTTCAATAATGGTCAAATAATCAATTTCCTTCCACTTATTTACCCAACTGAACAAGAAATAAAGGAGACCAGTTAAACCGTCTTATCTGTTTCATATTTAGGTATATACATAACATATAGTCAACTTTCAAGCAATATTCCAGCCTTTGGTGTGTATATTTCATAACGTTTGGGGTACAATTGAACAAGCTATTTCAATATATGACTCTTGCTCAAAAGTTGTTTCATCAGGTTCCAAACATTCAAGGCCTTGGGGAAGCTTTTAAAACGGTTTGTGGTAGACATGTGGAGGACATCGCGTGTGCTCACAAGTATGGTTCTGCCAAAACAAGCATCATAACTTGACAAATCTTGTATTCGTACTACCCAATAGTTCTTATTACCTTCCACGATGATGGCACTTGTATCCCTAAATAAAAAAACCTGAGGCATATAACAAAGAAAACCATAACAAGTTAACACAACAACATTTTAAACTAAGGCCTTGTACTTCACAAATATGCAATAACACACAGATATGTTATTTTAGGATATTCATTGAATCGATGCCAGTGTTCCTACTGCATTAGGACTGACATACACAGAGGACTTTTGGGGGATGCCGGGGTATTAGTCCTCAGACTAAATGGATCGGATGGTCAGGACTTCGCTGATTGCGTGTCATCGTATTCCACTTGCGCGCTCGAAACACTTGAACCAGAGGACGGCAAAATTGTTATAAAACTATCCCTCTGATTAGCATAAGTATGGAAATTTAAAAAATGGGAACTATTCTGAACGAATATTAACATATGCGGGGCATATCAATATAAAAGGAATTTTCATTTTCAATTGCATCTAAGTTACATAATGAACAAAATTGAAGAGTCTTGTCGTAATGTCTATCACTGGATTCCCTGGTTATCTACAAACTGATGTCATATGTCTGGATTTATAATTAGGCGTTAAAAAAACTAAAAGACAAAAACACATTTTGGAAGATAACACTCTTTGATGAATAACATTATGATATTATCATGATGACATGTAGCTCATCGACACGTCGTGTCATATGTTTTGTTAGTTTGTTAACACCGCACTCCGCAATAGTCCAGCTATATGACGGAGGTCTGTAAATAATCACGTCCGGACCAGACAATCCAGTGATTGACATCATGATCACCGATCCGCGCAAGTGGGATACGATGACATGCATCAACCAAATCAGCAAGCCTGACTGTCCGATCCCGTTAGTCGCCTCTTACGTCAGGCTTTGGTTGCTGTAGACCTATTCTGAACCGGATCTTCACTTATCCACAGAGCGTACGTATTTTACTGTATTCGCGATAACAAAGACATGGTACAAGTGGAAAGATTTACTTAACACTAAGAAATGTATTATCACGTTGATATATGTGTGAGACAGACGTCCTAAAACATTCACCCGTTGCGACATGTGCTCGCAATGTAAACTTGAAACTTCCATACGTGCAGTGGCACGTCTCTTGATCTACCTTTTTTCTGAAGTTCTGCAAAGGTCTTCCTTCGCAAACAACCCCTGTCTACTTTCAAACGAATGAAATGTTTGCCAGGGTCATGGTTTGCATAGAGTTAATTCCAGCTGACGATAACGTGTTGGTAATTTATAAAGTGTCTGAGAAGTTGTGTCCACTAATAACTTTAATTTCATTTAAAAAAAATTAATATTGCCATTCTTGGAATTTCTTATGTATATAATAGACAATACCAATGGATTTGTTATTTCTTATTGAAAAAACATCGCACTGACCAAGATTAATTGACATTGTAAACGACCCCGGCCTGTGGCTTGTTATGTACCGCATTCGCCCATCACCATTCGCTCTTACTAATAATGGAGCTTTTTGGCCATATTGACTTCTGATGACGGACATGCAAAAAGAATGTAAGAACAAAACATGAAGCAAGGATGTTTGGCAGGATTACTTCTATGGCATTATTTCACTAAGAAACGTAGCAACATATGTAGCGATTATCCTCATAAAGAGGTGTATTAAATATTGTGAAAGACAGATGTGTGTCATATAGTGACTTACAGGTATGTTACATATGGTGACATTGATATGTGTGCCATAGAGTGACTGACAGGTATGTTACATATGGTGACAGGGATATGTGTACCATATAGTGACCGACAGGTATGTTACATAAGGTGACATGGTTATGTGTGCCATAGAGTGACTAAAAGGTATGTTACATATGGTGACAGGGATATGTGTGCCATGTAGTGACTGACAGGTATGTTACATATGGTGACTGACATGTATGTTACATATGGTGACAGGGATATGTGTGCCATATAGTGTTTGACAGGTATGGTACATATGTTGACAGGGATATTTTTACCATATAGTGACTGACAGGTATGTTACATATGGTGACAGGGATATGTGTGCCATATAGTGACTGGCAGGTATGTTACATATGGTGACAGGAATATGTGTACCATAAAGTGACTGACAGGTATGTTACATATGGTGACAGGGCTATGTGTACCATATAGTGATTGACAGGTATGTTATATATGGTGACAGGGATATGTGTGCCATATAGTGACTGACAGGGATATGTGTACCATATAGTGACTGACAGGTATGTTACATATGGTGACAGGGATGTGTTTGCCATATAGTGACTGACAGGGATATGTGTGCCATATAATGACTGACAGGTATGTTACATATGATGACATGGATATGTGTGCCATATAGTGACTGACAGGTATGTTTCATATGGTGCCTGACAGATATGTTACATATGGTGACAGGGATATGTGTGCCATATAGTGACTGACAGGTATGTTACATATGGTGACAGGGATATTTGTGCCATACAGTGACTGACAGGTATGTTACATATGTTGACAGGGATATGTGTGCCATATAGTGCCTGACAGGTATGTTACATATGGTGACTGACAGGTATGTTACATATGGTGACAAGGATATGTGTGCCATATAGTGACTGACAGGTATGTTACATATAGTAACTGACAGGTACGTTACATATCGTGACAGGGATATGTGTGCCATATAGTGACTGACAGGTATGTTACATATGTAGACAGGGATATGTGTGCCATATAGTGACTGACAGGTATGTTACATATAGTGACAGGGATATGTGTGCCATATAGTGACTGACAGGTATGTTACATATGGTGACTGACAGGTATATTACATATGGTGACAGGGATATGTGTGCCATATAGTGACTGACAGGTATATTACATATGGTGACATGGATATGTGTGCCATATAGTGACTGACAGGTATGTTACATATTGTGACAGGGATATGTGTGCCATATAGTGACTGACAGGTATGTTACATATGGTGACATG